CACGTGGATTGGCAACTGCAGTTTTGAATTTTCTTGTTTTAAGTGGTCTAACGTTACCTTTCTTAAAAATGTTAACTTTTATGGCGGTGGGTACTTAAAAAAATTGAATATCAATGTTAACTTTAGTAAAAAACTAACTTTTTGATGTTCTTAATATAATTATGTTTTATTTTTGGTGAATATATGCTAAAAGTGATATTATATTTTTTGTGTCATAGAGGAAGGTACTGCCGTCTTTGATACAGGCTCGGCCTGGTACAGCTGGCAGTAACAAACCGAAGTAAGCAACTTAAAATTTGTAAATATCTTATTTTAAACTTACTGTAAAGAAGCTTATTGCAAAATAAAAATAAAAGTTTTATTTTTATTATTAAGGTAGTTGGTATTTTTTCATTGCCACTAAACGGTTGACAAATACAATAAAAGTAGTATAGTATATTACATGTACATAGTACACTTATCTGATTAGTATTTTCTATATTATGTAATTCTATGTTTTTCCGTTTGGTGGAGGTATTTTTTCGTTTTGTTTTGGTTAAAAAACGTTATCTCCATAAGAATTTTTTTCCATATTCTAAAAGTTTACGTTATAATAATTGCACATTAAAAAAAATAAAGTAGCAAACGGACTTACACTTTATTTGATGGTATGTGGATTCTGCAGCCCATGGACACCTAAAATCATCAAATAAAGAAAGTTACAAGTGGGTCGTCACCTCTGAGGACTAAGATTGTCTTACTGAAATTAAACTGGCTCTGGAAAGCCTTCAGACCAGATCACAGCAAAGCAAGCACTCCTGGCACCTAGCTAACCGGACTCCTAGGTGGAAAAGAAGTATAACCACTTAGGTATGGACAAATATCCTCAGTTTTCAGAACAAAACGTCTGGTACAATAGTAGTCAATTTTCCAGATAACTCGTTATGTGGGCTCCAGACTTCTGTGTGATTCACGACGTTTTGCCGCGAAGTCGTCGCGAAGAACATATCCCTCCACATTCGCAATCGTTCATCTTCACAGTTTAGTTCGCGCGCTCTTCAAGAATGAACGCTGAAATATGCACTGCTATCGCCGTGACGCTATGCGCTTCGGCTCACGACAATTACGTGTATATAAAAGATAAAAAACCGTATTTGTAGTTTTCTTTTACAATTATCGATTTCTCCTAGAAAAGCATCGATCACGTCAAAGGCAATCCAAATGGGCTTGTAAATTTTGTCGCTGCCTGCTCCAGAATTCCTTTCAGAATCCTTCACCATTTTCTTATAATTTCTATAACTGGAATATCCTAGTTTTTCAATCAGTCACTTCTACGCTTTTCGTGGCAGAGCCATGCTGCAATTATATCTATTAGTAGTATAGTTTTAGCACGAATGGATCGGCCCGACCGGGGAAGGACCACGCTCTCACAGAATACCAACGTAAAATAGTAGCTAATTGCTGCTGTGTTTCGTATGGTGAGTGTAGAGAACCGGAGACCCTTTTTACTGGGGGCATTCCATCGTAGTCCTGACGGGTGACAACGCATACCATCAGGTGGACTTTGTGCTCGTTTGTCACCCTTTCTTATAAGATAAAATAAAATAATACTCATTATTTCCTTTATTCGTATTCATGCGTCATGTACTTTCATTTTATTTTTATGTAGGTACCTTGAGGATCACCAGCTTATTAGTGACCGCCAAAACGGTTTTCGCCGTGGTCGGTCAGCCGGTGATCTTCTGGTCTACTTAACTCACAGATGGGCGGAGGCAGTAGAGTCCAAGAGAGAGGCATTGGCCGTTAGTTTGGACATTGCGAAGGCCTTCGATCGGGTTTGGCACAAAGCGCTTCTTTCGAAGCTCCCTTCCTATGGGCTTCCCGAGAAATTGTGCGATTGGATCACCAGCTTTCTTGCAGATCGGAGCATCAAGGTCGTTGTAGACGGTGCAAGCTCCGATTGCAAGCCTATTAATGCTGGTGTTCCACAAGGCTGCGTGCTATCGCCAACGCTATTTCTTCTGCATACCAATGATATGTTGCAAACCCGTAACATTCATTGCTATGCAGATGACAGCACTGTTGATGCTCTTTACACCGGCCGAGCCAATATTTCTTGGGAAAACATCTCCGAGTGCCGGGACAAACTTGTGTCTGAAGTCGAGTCTTTGCTGAACAGAGTCTCGGATTGGGGGCGACTAAATCTAGTCCAGTTTAACCCCCAGAAGTAAAAGTTTGCGCGTTAACCGCTAAAAAGAACCCCTTTGTCGTATTTCCTCAGTTCCAAGGCACTCCCGTTGTTGCCTCAGCCAGTATCGGAATCCTCGGCGTCGACATATCGAGTGACGTGCAGTTTCGTGGTCACTTGGAAGAGAAGGCCAAATTGGCCTCTAAAAAGCTTGGCGTGCTCAGCAGAGCGGGACAGTATTTCATGCCGGCACACCGCCTGCAACTTTACAAGCCGCAGGTTCGGCCGCACATGAAATACTGATCCCATCTCTGGGCTGGGGCTCCTCAGTACCAGCTCCTTTCACTTGACTGCATCCAGCCCAGAGCGGCTCGACTCGTCGACGACCGAGTGCTTTCCGATCGGCTCGATTCACTGGCACTGCGAAGAGATGTTGCATCTCTTTGCATTTTTTTCTCGCATACCATGGAGAGTGCTCTGAGGAATTGTTCGGATTAATCCCAGCCGCCAAATTTCGTGAACGCACTACGAGGCAAATGTCCCGATACCATCCAACGTAACCGCGGTTAACTATGACATCTGGACGTTGAACATCTCAGTCCCGCCCGTGACCATGACCATGAGTGCTGTAAAGCGTTCGAAACATCGGGTATTTAAAAAGTTAAATATACGCGATAAATTCTGTAAAAACTAGTATTATTTCAATCAGTCTGCAGTTTTAGTAACTTGATATTTTATACAGTAAAGGGATTATAATTCTTGATTTATAATCAAAACAGTTTAGTTGTATACCTGAGGACTAATATGGAGTATTCGTTACCAATTAACAGAGTTTTCAAATCTTATCATAACATAAACATAAAACAGAAACACTCACGCTTGTCATCTAGAGGGTTAGGTAGACACTACGAACTTCCTTTTGACACGATCCTGACACACCTCTATCACCTATTTTAAATCCATTTATTTACGCATACGCACTTGTCGTTTAAGAATAGTCCTAATCGGGCCCATTTTGAATATATCGCCACTTTGGTCGATAAAACTTCGTCAAGGGCGTCTCTTCCCCACTCTTCCTTTCACTCTTTCCTCGTTCAATCTTTCTACATGACCAAATCACCGAAGCATTCCTTTCTTAATCCTGATCAGAAGATCATCTTGCACACCACATTCTTGTCTTACTTAAAAACCTATTCTCTTTCTATCTTATCTATCTTATCACTTACTTAAAAATCTAGCAGGTCTCGTAATATGGCGTGTCTCTTTTGGTATAGAACATAAATTTTGTTACTATGCTTGCGATTAAAGTTTTATGAAAAAAAAAAAGTAAAAGATGTCTTCCTCATAGAGCCAAATATTTTATGTGTAAGTATAGGTGTAATGTATAATATATACTATACACCATTTATATTAGTATTTATAGAATATGTGTGTGTTAACTGTGTTTGTTTGCATTACTCTCTAAGCAGTAATTAAAGTCTAAAAGTCGTAGTTACGCGTAATTGGTGGACAATTGGAGGTTCACACACTTGTCAGTGAAGTCACAAGGCTCCAACTTGCTGACTTGGAGACCTATTTGATGTCACATTTTATCTTTATTTTTTTAAATTTGGTATTTTTTTAAATCATTATTTAATTCACGACGTGCTTGTACTGCTTGTTAATAATTTTTAATGCGTAAACAGTCTTACACCTGTGCATGCATATTTTGTATTTACATTTCTTAAATTGGCTGTAAAATGTGATTATCAAATAAACGGTCCTTTCTTTCTTTCTTTCTTCCTTTCTTTCTTTCTTATTTACTATTTGCAAAATAGCAGCATTGTACTATATTTTAGAAAGTATAGTGTAGTGAGGTGAGGATTTTCATCTTCTCAAGGTGACAAAGCATCTGTAGCCTACTTTGTTGGAAGTTGGCAGCAAATGTTTATGGACTGGTTTATGGACTCCTGATGATAAGTGGCTACGGCAACTTTTGTAGGTTCGTTTATCAGTCAAGTTTTATAAAAAAAAAATAACGTATTATTTCGACCTCTATTTCGAATAGAAACTCTAAATTTACATTGCAAATGAACACTACCTTAGCAAAGTGACAAAACGTTCCGTGGACGCGATCAAAGAGATATGAAGTATATGAAGTATAGCTACATGCTTCCAATTCAAGCAAATTGAACCATTGAGTCGGTTCGTAAAGCCACACAGACTTTGATACTTCGAGTGTCCACGCTCTTTGGAGGTGCCCTTTAATTAGATCAGTTGCATTACCTCTCGAAAGAGGAGTTATTCAATTTGATGTGAATGTGTTGTGAATGTGTCTTGTGTTTTTGTAATATAGTGAATTAATAATCTTTATAATCTTTTTAAATTTAATTTAATTTTATAATCTTTTGAATTTTAATTTTCCTTTTTAAGGTTTCAAAGTATTGCAGTCAAACACTGGCATGTAATATGTAAAAAAAAAATCATTTTGTTTTACAAGTAGTTCGTTATTTGAAATAAAATGTATTTATATATGATTTACTAATAGTAAAGAAGGTTTTTAAACGTAACATGGTTTGTTTGCTGTTTGAATTTTAAACAGAGAGAGAAGGCGTTTTATTTATTTCTTTAGTTATCGAATTATTTTTAGTATAGTTATTTTCGGTCATACATTACTAATTTGATTTATATTGAAAACTTTTTTTATTTTGTAACTAAACTATAAACTGTTTTTAATTTAAAATCAGAAAAATATAGCAAGTCCCACTGAAGTGCGTGAATAATAGATATATTTCAAAGCTATTTAGTAGTGCTGTTATAAATTGGTCCATGTGTTTGTTAATGTGGTAATAAAATGGAAACACGAGGAAAGTTTGCAATAAAATTGGAAGAATTAGATCCAGAGGATGTGTTGTCGCTGCTGCAGAAATGGGATATGGATGAGTTTGGTGACTTTGTAAAAGAGAAAGAGTTGGATGGGAGAAAGTTAATGGTAAGAGATTTATTTTTCTTTAATTTTATAGTTTATTCCATGCATTTTATACTTAGTAGTGCAACACCACAGTGCAGCTATATTTTGGATGTAGCACGAAAGGGTCGGCTCGACCGGGGTAGGACCACGCTCTCACAGAACACCAGTATAAAATAGCAGCTTAACGCTGCTGTGCTTCGTATGGTGAATATAGAAACCGGATACTTGTTTAACTGGAATGAAGGCATCATCTTAGTCCTCAGGGGTGAAAACACATCTGTATTTTGATTCATAATCGAGGTTAAATGTTGATGTCTATGGGCCACAGCATCCACTTACCATCAGGTGGACTGTGTGCTCGTTTGTTACAATACTTCTTTAAAAAATGCAAGTGAGGGTGACATAGGGTAAACAGTCTACTTGGTCACGAATGATTCGATTAAGAATCACAATGCAGGTGATTTTCACCCGTGAGGACAAAGATTCAGTGGTGTGAGATAAAAAATTTGCTTTTTTAAATGACGTTTATCTTCCTGATCCTCAACATAACTGTTAGATGTTACAGTTAACGTTACAGCCTATTAAAGTCAACTGCTGAAAGTAGGCCTCTTCTCCCCCATAGATTGCATGAGGGGGTATTTGCCACGCTTGGCAAGCGGGTTGGCAACCGCAGTTTTATTAAATCTTAATCGTTATTATGAGGACATTGCTGCATATTTTCTGATTGGTTTGCCTTTGTTACATCTTACGACACTCACGGGATGATATGGGGTAGTGGATATTTTTACACCGCCTTTTCACGGTGTTAGATATTGGCGTTTCTCAATTGTAACATCGTTTCAGATCGTACTTATGGTCTATATTTATCGTTATCATACATTATATCTGCTGTCCACTTGCAATCCGATGGACTGTGTGCTCGTTTGTCATATATTAAGTTGTATTAGTAGCTACTAACGCATTTTGTATCCTCGTTTGCAGCTACAGTTTACGCATTTTTTATTTTAATATAATGATAAAAAAAACAATTAGAATAGCCTGGGGTGTAGGAACATATATACATATAAGTTTTTGTTTATATAATACCACTACTGACTGACTGACTCATCACGATATCTCCTAAGCAATACACCCGATTGTCTTGAAATTTAGTACAGTTACTAATTTGATAATGTAGACACTCAGTAAGAACTTATTTTCCGGTAGTCCTATAAAGAAATATTGATATTTTATATCTACGTTATTTATCGTCTATTATCGTACGCCCAGCAGAGCGAGCGGATATCAGCTAATATTGTATATTTTAATGTCTTGCGACACTTAAATATAGTAATCTTAAGGCATTATTTGATCGCTCCGTGGCGCAGTAGCTATCATTGAGTTGTGGCGCTAATAGTTGCAGGTTCAAATCCCGAACGGAACACGAGCCGGGTCTGAATGTTTGTCCTTGTGTAATTTATGAATGTTAATTGCCGCCAATACAGGACAAAGTCGTTAAAACGGGATGCCCAGCTTTGCCTTTGAGCAATTATCAATTTCAAATATTAAGTAGTTGTCATACAACAATGGTATCTGATGGTTGATAAACTTACCACCAGTAATAATTCTCGGGTTAGAAGTCGACTAAGAAAGTAAACACCTTCTACACTTTTTTGCGTGGCTACATTATATATTATGATTGTAGCACGAATGGTTCAGATTGACCGGGGAAGGAACACGCTCTCACAGAATACCAGCGTCAAATAGAAGCTTAATGCTGCTGTGTTTCGTATGGTGAGTGTAGAGAACCGGATAACTTTTTTAGTGGAAACGAAGCATTCTATTTTGGTTTTCTGGAATTAACTTCTTACGAGGAATAATTTATACTTTAATCATTGACACAATGCACGCGGTTAAAACTCTCAGGAGGCACGACTTTTTCCGATTTACTTGATGAATATCATCATAACTTATAGTCATAATCCCTACTGTGACCTCTAAGTCATGTGTGGTGGCCATATTCATGAGCTACCAGACACGTAAACAACACGCCATTGTATGCCTCACTACATACAATGCGATGACTCATCAGATTCAAATATTTGAGACCAAATACAAAGCATCGCTTCATATTCGTGATTGTCTGAATTGTTTTAATTGTTATAGTCTTATTAAAACCCTCTAGTAGTACTGTTACGAAAATTTTACGATTTATGTCGGGTGAATTAGTACTAAAGATTATTTTATAGGATAGGGTTACAAACGAGCACACAGTCCACCTGATGGTAAGTGGTTGCTGTGGTCCATAGAAATCTACATCTATCCTCGATTACGAATCAAAATGCAGATGCGTTGTCACCCGTGAGGACTAAAATGGAATGTCTCGTTTCAAGTAAAAAGGGTCTCTGGTTCTCTACACTCACCGTACAAAGCACAGCAGCATTAAGCTACTATTTTACGCTGGTATTCTGTGAGAACGGTGGTCCTTCCTCGGTCGAACCGACCCATTTATGCTACAACTATACTTCTAATATAACTGCAGCATGGCTCTACCATGTATAACACCACTAAAGTGGAGAGAATTCAAGAAAAAAAATACCTCGAACCCCAAAAATGTTTTTCGGGAACTGCATATATTTATACAGTGTAAATACAAGAGGGCACCGGCCGGAAAGGCAGCGAGATAGCGATAAACGTGTAAAATTATTAATAATCAAATAAATAATCTAATTTAACAAAGTGTGACCAGATAAAAATCGGGAATTTGGTTTTAAAATCGGGACGGTTACAACAGATGTAGAAGAAGAAGAATAGATAGAGGCAGATTTTTTGTAGCCACGAGTATAACTAATAGAGACCACAATGGTCGCTATTAGTTATACTGGTCTTTCGACACAATTCGTAAAGTTTTTTTAAAATTATTATTTATTTTATTTACATTATCAAATGAAGTAATAATTTTTTGTCCAGACATCGTTGCAGGCTCTGAACTTTCTGAATAATATAATTCTGAAAATAGTAATAAATTTATGAGCTCACAACTCAGTCATTTCAAAAAGTCTTTTAAAACAACGGTATCTTACAATATAATGTTCATGCATAATCAAACGGTTTAAATACCTCATGCCTAGATGAAATCCTCGCATCGAACGTATAGTGTTACTTTATTCATTGAATACAACAGTGTACCTACAACAGACTGAAGAAATTGACTAGTGGAAGAACTTTTCCACAAGACTTTTGCATTTTACTAAATGTACTTATCTAAATAGCAGCATGTAAGTTAGGTACTGTACTAAAATTACTAGTAATAGAATGAAATAATAAATGATTGTCGAATTAACGACATCGATACATGGCACAACCCGGAGACAGGCAGTGAGAATAAAACGAGTCAATATGATTGATATCAGTATCTTTCCATGCCAATAAATTACGCGCAAAGTTTAAAACTTTGATTTTGCCTATTTAGTTCGAGCTTGGTAAGAAAATATGAAATCGTCAAAGTAAAAGTATTTTAATGTAGTATAATAACAGATATATTCCATTTTGTTTTCAAAATGATCGATGAAAATACTAACTAGGAAGGTTAGTAAAAATTTGGGACATTTGGCGTCTCGATTAACGGTTAATTGGAACGTGTCACCAGAACCCTGAAAATCGGGACGTCCCGCGCAAATCGGGGCACTTGGCAATACTAGTTTACGCTATCGGTGTGAATTAATATGAACGCGAGCGGTGGCGGGAAAAGGTGATACGTCCTATCATATAAAAAATGCTCTGTGGTCCTATCTGCCCTATATAGTATATTATCTATGGTCCTATCGTTGGGAAGACCCAGAGCGTACTGAATCGGACGCCGTCTGCGCGTGATTATTTATAGTATTTTTAAAATAATCATATAAAATAATTGATTAAATAAAACGAGCTAAATTTTTTTGGGCGTTTAACATTATCTGTATTTTGATAAAATATTTAAAATATATAAGTTTATATCCAAAAACACGGAAAAAATGATATTGAAGTGGACAATTTTGGTGATTTTATAATATTGTTTTTTAATATTAAATCGAAATATTTTCGTAATTTAGGCTTTATTTTGCACTTAAAGACTATATATTCCATTACATAGTGTAGTAAAATAAAGAGTTTTAGCTTATAATAATGGTTGTATTCGACCTGAAAGACAACTCTGACGCATATTTTCTTAAGAGTGTCTGCTCTAAAATACCGTAATTAAAAGCTATGATTTTGCACTAAATAAACACTTCATCATTCTAAAGACGTAATTTTAAAAATTTAAAAATTAGTAACGCTGGGTTTCTTGCTGGTTCTTCCCAGGACAGAGGTTTTTTTGCGAACCAGTGGTAAATGAAAAAAGTGACTTTCAATGCAGTATGTGAAAATTAGAACTGTGAACAGTGTTGAAAAAGCTAGAACATTTACTTTCGTCATTTCCATAGCATTAGGTCGTTCTGTTTCTGTTTCTGTTATCTAAATTATGTAAATTAAAGTTTCTAGAAATTGCGATTTTTTAAATTGAACTTTTTTAATTACATTTACTTTATGTCTAGTAATAGCATTTGTTGCAGTTCATTGCAATCGAAATAAATTGTCAGGAGCTAATAAAATATGTGTGACTCAGGACTGTGCAATATATAATTCAATTCAATTTGTGGTATTCCTTGGAGGACGTCTATGTTCAGAAGTGGACTTAAGAAAAGCTATCATAATGATAATGATAATGATGTTTATTTCGGATAAATAAACTTCCGTTCCGTTGTCTTGTGTTAGAGCTAAAATCACTGACATTAAGGAGAGGTACCATGTGTTCCTTAACTGGTTTAGTTTTTTTTTATAGTAAGGTGACAAACGTGTACACAATCCACCTGATAGCCCATTGACATCTACATTTATCCTCGATCAAGAATCAAAATGCAGATGCGTTATCACCCTTAAGGCCTAACGTGGAATGCCTCGTTTTCAGTAAAACGGGTTTCCGGTTCTCTACACTCACCATAAGAAACACAGCAGCTTTGAACTGCTATACTACGCTGATATTCTGTGAGAGCGTGGTCCTTTCCCGGTCGAGCCGACCCATTCATGCTACAATCATAATAACGCTGCAGCGTGAATCTAAACAAATACATGTATAAATACAAATAGGCTGATGCGTTACGATAATATTACTCTTGATATTGCGTTAATGTGTTGCTTTTCTTCATCAGCATTTAATAGATGATAGGACTCATTTCCGCTTAGGAGTCCGTCTGGGTATCGACCCTCTTAGCCGTTTCAGTCGACAAGCTGCAGTGCGTGCACTGCTGTGTACTGGTCTGAAGGGAATAGAGAGTCAGTATAATTGCTCTGAGGCACTCGATCTTAGATTAAACATATCATTAATAAATGTTCATTGTTAATAAATGTTCACAGTTTTAGTGGTGAAACTTGTTTCTTGTTCGAATGAAAAGACATCCTATGCATCCAAGTATCTATTGTTTTAAAAATGTTTGTTCTACCCCGAAACTTTAATCTTAAGATTAGATTATAAGTGTGTACCATATATTGTTTATCAATAAACATTATTATTATAATGATTTCTTATATTTACGCGAACATTGCACATGATTAAAACTACTTTTACGGATTTTGTCGAACGAAGAACACATAGCTGATGTGAAGCATCAACGTTCCGGGAAGTCTGCAGTTTGTGATCATATCCTAGACGGCCCCAACCATTACATCAGATTTTATAGACCACAAATCCTCGCGAAAGAACACCGATTCCTACCAAGGATGATACGTGAGGCTATTGAAATTAAAAAACATCCCAATTTCATTAGAGAAGGAGGCTGGGTACTACCACCTGCTTGGGACCCTATAACCAATAAAATTAAAACTAAACCCAAGCATACCACTGCAAGACCTCAGGACATAGTCAGTTCATTTTGCATAGATCGGACCATAAACAATAATTAAAAAAGCTGAAGGTACTCCGGGTTTAACAATGACATCGGGACGTCAGTCATCTCAGTCCCCCGTGACCATGGGTGCTGGAAAGCGCCCGAAACGTCGGGAATTAAAAATAAAAAGTAAAAATAAACGCGACAAAATCCGTAAAAGTAGTTTTAATCATGAACATTATTATTATTATTATGGGGTATTAGTAGTGTATTCTCATCTGGTTGGGCTGAATAAATATATAAAAGGAAATGATAAATATACATAAATTTGTATTTCTTATATCAGCACAAATAAATAAATAATACATAAATAAATAAAAGCCCAACCAGATAGAGGCCCTCGGCAGGGGAGACCAAATGGCCGAGAGAGAGGGGAAAAGGGAGAGAAACCGGCGGACGATGCGAGCGGTTTCGAGGAGCACCGCCTTTTGCATTTGAGCCTGGAGCGGTCCGTCACGGAGTCCCAGCCGCCTCAGATGACCCGAGAGGCTAACTGGGATTAGCCCGTTTGCAGAAATGACAACAGGAATAATTTCAGTCGCCAGACCACCCCATATGTCGGTCACCTTGTGAGCCAAGTCCAGATATTTTGTTCGTTTATCTGTTTCGGCTTTCACGAGGTTCTCGTCATACGGAATGGTAATGTCGACCAAAAATATCCTCAATGATTTCTTAAATTTACGCGAACACTACACATTGAATAAAACTATTATTTATGGATTCTATCGCGTTTAATTAAACTTTAATTTATTTTTATTATCCCGACGTTTCGGGTGCTTTACTGCACCAGTGGTCACGGGGGGACTGAGATGTTTGACGTCCCAATGTCATAGTTAGTCCGGCTACCTTCAGTTTTTAAATATTAATTTTTGGTCCGATTTACGCAAAATGAGCTTATAGTATCATGAAGTCTTGCAGTGGTATGTTTGGGTTTGGGTTTAATTTTGTAAATTATAGGATCCCAAGCAGCTGGTAGTACCCATCCATCTTCTCTATTGAAATTTGGATGTTTTTTAATTTCAATAGCCTCGCGTATCATCCTTGGTAGGAATCGGTGTTCTTTTGCGAGGATTTGTGGTTTATCAAATCTAATGTAATGGTGGGGACGATCTTGAACATGTTCGCAGACTGCAGACTTCCCGGAGCGTCGGTGCTTTTTGCGGTGTCGGTGAATTTCCGGTCCATGAGACCGTATTTCAGAGCGAGCTCCTGGTGTAGAATTCTGGCTACTAGGTTGTGCCTGTGCAAGTACTCAGAGTTAGAAAGCGCCGAACAACCGGAGATGATATGCCTAAGTGATTCACCGGGATGGCGACAAGCTCGACAGACGTCGACGGTGCCATCCTTTAGGATGTATCTCCGATAGTTGTTGGTTTTAATAACCTGATCCTGTATTGCACAGACAAAACCCTCGGTTTCCCCGAAGAGGTCACCGAAACGTAGCCAGTTGACGGAGGCGACTGTATCTACGAAGGGCTCATGAAGAGCCCTGTAGTACCTCCCGTGGAGCTCCTTCTCCTTCCATACGGTCTCCCGGTCGGAAATGCTAAGCACTGCTGGGTCCTGCCATTGCTCGTGGGCTAAGGATAGAGGGGTAAGCCCTTTATCACTAGAAATGACGTCATTATAGAATGGATCATCCGATCTCGCCAGGAAGTAATCACGGAGGCTGCACAATTCGCGATTATGCATGGTGAGCGCGCTCAGAAAACCACGCCCACCATGCTTTCGCGGCAAGTACAGCCTCATTACCGACGATCTCGGATGATGCATCCTATGGGACGTCATTGTAGTGCGGACTTTTCTATCCAGGGCGTTAAGTTCGGTCTGAGTCCACCTGAGTATGCCAAAGGTATATATAAGGATAGGCATGACCCAACCGTTATATGCGTGTGTCTTATTCACACCGGACAAAAGGCTGTTAAGCACTTTGGTCAAGCGTGCATAAAACACGTCGCAAACTGACTGTTTCATACCAGCCTCATCGATACCGATGTTCTGTGACATACCCAGGTATCGGTATGTTTCAGCCTCGGAAAGGGTCTTTAAGTTGACGAGCATAGATAAATCTATGCCCTCAGAGTTAGCAACCCTTCCCCTTTCAGCATGAAGGACCGCACACTTATCCGTCCCCAGCTCCATTCCAATGGAATTGCTAAATTCACAAGTGATGTTTAGCAATTCCATAAGATGGGAACGACTGGAGGCGAATAACTTGAGGTCATCCATATAGAAAAGGTGGATCACTTTTGTTCCTCCTTTCCGTAGCTGAAATCCTCTCCCGGAGCCCTCCAGTAAGGTACTGAGAGGGTTCAGAGAGAGGCAGAACCAGATTGGACTCAGACAATCGCCCTGGAAGATACCCCTTCTTATCCTTATGTGGTTCTCCGCAGCCATCTTCCGCTCGCCCTGATAACAGAGGATCGTACTCCACTGCCCCATACACTGCTCGAGGAAGTCTCTGACTGTACAGTCAATCTTGTACAGCTCGAGGACCCTCTTTAGCCATGCATGGGGCACCGAGTCGAATGCTTTTCTGTAGTCTATCCAGGCGGCGGAGAAGTTCCGACGGTTGCGTTTCACCACTTTGCCAATGACCGCGTCAATGAGGAGTGGTTCCTTGGTTCCACGACCACCGCCCTGACATCCATTTTGAGCGCGTGACATCACCTGATTTAGCTCCAGGTGACGAGTGATTCTCGCGCTCAAAATGGATGTCAGTGTCTTATATATAGTGGGTAGACACGTGATGGGGCGGTATTTGCTCGGGTCTGTGGTATCCTGATCTTTAGGAACCAAGTGAGTGATCCCAGTAGTGAAGAGGCTCGGGAGCGACTTCTGATCGAGAGCCTCTTGATACTGTCGGGCGAGCACAGCGTGACACACTACGAACCCCTTCAGCCAGTAATGATGCAGCCCGTCGAGCCCCGGACTTTTCCAGTTCGGGGCCCTACGGACCGCCTCAGCCACGTCTTCAGGCATTATGGTGACGGGGTCCATAGGCGTAACACTTGCACTCTGGCTCGCCACAACTTCCATCCAAGGGCCCTCGCTGTGGTTTACGGGCTCTGACCACAGGCCACGCCAAAATGCGACAGTGTCAGCCTGATCCGGTCCTGGGCCCGCTCCACATACCTCTGGTCGCTCCAATGATTTATAGAGCCTCTTCTGATCACTCTGGAAGAGACGATTTTGGTTTAACCGCCTTGACCTCTCACTAAATCGTCGAATACGCTTCCCCCAAGCAGCGATTTTTTGCTTTAGGTCATCTATGCGCTCCGTTAGTTTCTGCGTGATATCCAGCTGGGACAAACTAATATTTGTCCCAGCAAACGCCATTCTAACGGTGCGCACAACTCTCGGTCTAATATTACCCGACCTGAAGCTTGTCAGTCTGCCGATAAGGGCCCTTGCCTTTGCGATACGGTCCTCGATTCTTTTTCTCCAGGCTGGGATGGCACTACCTTGTTGAGTAGCACGTCCAGCCATGGGAAGTTTGGCGCCAATAATACGGCATACTGCCAGTGCGGCGCCAAAAAGAATTGAGTCCGTCTCGCAAAGGTCCCGGCTGGCTTCCAAATAGGTCACCAGCATTGGGTTAAGAGCCCGCACGACAGCCCGATTTCGTTTGCTAAGGGGTATGCGGGGGAAGTCGCGGTCGATTTTCGAGAGGCATGCTGCGCGTTTCCAGCATCGACTCTTCCAATATGCTTCTCATTTTCTCTAGTTCGTGGGGGACTATTCCATCATCGTCTGAATCAACCACAAATGGAATATTGACGGCAGCGTCCACATTTGCAGTTTGCTGCGCAATTAGTGGCGCCGCATTCCCAGCCGTAGCATTTCCATCCGATGAGGGAACAGCCTCACGTCGTAGTCGTTCGAGTTCGGCGTCACCAAATATGTTGGAGCGCAGGATGTACCGAACTCGGTCTGCCAGGTTTTGCTCAGTGACGGATAGAGATGGCTCCAGCCCTGCAAAAAGCGATGCATCCGAGCCCGATATGCCAAACATCCGGTTTCTTCCCCTTTTGCCCTAAAGTACGCCCGCAGTGCGTTTGCGTTCATTGTTTGTGACCAACGCATGCGACGTGCTCTACCAGCGGCGGGTGCCGCTTGCTGAGTCCGAGAAGACCCAGCCGACACCAAGCCTTCTGGTGGGGATGATGGATGCGGAGGGTTGCTAGGTGATCGTACAGCTCCTCGCGCTAGGCTGGCGGCCCGCATGCTGCCGCGTCCAGCGCCAGCTCCAGACGCGCCCCGGCGACCCCCAGGCAGCGGCCCTATGCGCGTTCCTCTTTGTACCATCATCCATTTATGGGCGCCAAATAACGGGAGACGCCCAAGCCCGGCACCGTTTCGTGGTTCGGTCATATGCACAAACGGACCTTTGCACCCACAATTTTGCCTAGGCACGGCGCTCACACCTCTTGGCAGGGCGCTTACTGACTGCGCCGACGTAGTAGTTTTGTCACATAACTGTTACATCAGCGGGCGATGGGGTCGTCACTTCCCTACGCCTCTTTCTTATTATTATTATGTGTGGGGTATCTATATAGTTTTCTCATCTAGTTGGGATGTATAAATATATAATTATAAACGAAAATGAAAGGATAAATATACATAAATATCAATAAAATAAAATAAATACAAAAATACATAAATAAATAAAAGCCCAACCAGATGGAAGCCCTCGGCAGGGGAGACCAAACGGCCAAGGGTTAGGAAGAAAGGGAAAGAAACCGGCGGACGATGCGGGCAGTATCAAGGAGCACCGCCTTCTGCATTTGAGCCCGGAGCGGTCCGTCACGGAGTTCCAGTCGCCTCAGATGACCAGAGAGGCTGACTGGGATTAGCCCATTCGCAGAGACGACTACAGGAATAATTTCGGCCGGCAGACCACCCCACATGTCCGTCACCTCGTGAGCCAGGTCCAGATATTTTGATTGCTTATCTGTTTCGGCTTTCACGAAGTTCTCGTCATACGGGATGGTAATATCGACCAAAAATATCCTTGACTGTGCCCGGTCCATCAGCACAATATCAGGCTTATTCGCAAGAATAGTCCTGTCTGTGATGATGGCCCGGTCCCAGTAGAGTCTGGCGCGGTCATTTTCGAGCACGGCTTCCGGCAAGTACTTGTAATACGGCAATTTCCGGTCCACGAGACCGTATTTCAGCGCGAGCTCCTGGTGTGGAATTCTGGCTACTAGGTTGTGCCTGTGCAAGTACTCAGAGTTAGAAAGCGCCGAACAACCGGAGATGACATGCCTAAGTGACTCCCCGGGATGGCGACAAGCTCGACAGACGTCGACGGTGCCATCCTTTAGGATGTATCTCCGATAGTTGTTGGTCTTAATAACCTGATCCTGTATTGCACAGACAAAACCCTCGGTTTCCCCGAAGAGGTCACCGAAACGTAGCCAGTTGAGGGAGGCGACTGTATCTACGAAGGGCTCATGTAGAGCCTTGTAGTACCCCCCGTGGAGCTCCTTCTCCTTCCATACGGTCTCCCGGTCGGAATTGCTAAGCACTGCTGGGTCCTGCCATTGCTCGTTGGCTAAGGATAGAGGGGTAAGCCCTTTATCACTAGAAATGACGTCATTATAGAATGTATCATCCGATCTCGCCAAGAAGTACTGACGGAGACTGCACACTTCGCATTATGCATGATGAGCGCGCTCAGAAAGCCACGCCCACCATACTTTCGCGGCAAGTACAGCCTCATTACCGACGATCTCGGATGATGCATCCTATGGGACGTCATGGTAGTGCGGACTTTTCTATCCAGGGCGCTAAGCTCAGTCTGAGTCCACCTGAGTATGCCAAAGGTATACATGAGGACAGGCATGACCCAGCCGTTATATGCGTGTGTCTTATTCACACCGGACAAAAGGCTGTTAAGCACTTTGGTCAAGCGTGCATAAAACACGTCGCAAACTGACTGTTTCATACCAGCCTCATCGATACCGACGTTCTGTGACATACCCAGGTATCGGTATGTTTCAGCCTCGGAAAGGATCCTTAAGTTGACGTGCATAGACAAGTCTATGCCCTCAGAGTTAGCAAACCTTCCCCTTTCATCATGGAGGACCGCACACTTATCCGTCCCCAGCTCCATTCCAATGGAACTGCTAAATTCACAAGTGATGTTTAGCAGTTCCGTAAGATGGGAGCGACTGGAGGCGAACAACTTGAGGTCATCCATATAAAAAAGGCGGGTCACTTTTGTCCCTCCTCTCCGTAGCTGAAATCCCCCTCCCGGAGCCCTCCAGTAAGGTACTGAGAGGGTTAAGAGAGAGGCAGAACCAGATTGGACTCAGACAATCGCCCTGGAAGATACCTCTTCTTATCCTTATGTGGTTCTCCGCAACCGTCATCCGCTCGCCCAGATGACAAAGGATCGTACTCCACTGCCCCATACACTGCTCGAGGAAGTCTCTAACTGTACAGTCAATCTTGTACAGCTCGAGGACCCCTCTTTAGCCATGTATGGGGCACCGAGTCGAATGCCTTTCTTTAGTCTATCCAGGCGGCAGAGAAGTTCCGACGGTTGCGTTTCACCACTTTGCCTATGACCGCGTCAATGAGGAGTGGTTCCTTAGTTCCACGACCACCGCCCCGACATCCATTTTGAGCGCGTGACATCACCTGGTTTAGCTCCAGGTGACGAGTGATTCTCGCGCTCAAAATGGATGTCAGTGTCTTATATATGGTGTGTAGACACGTGATGGGGCGGTATTTGCTCGGGTCTGTGGTATCTTGATCTTTAGGAACCAAGTGAGTGATCCCAGTAGTGAAGAGGCTCGGGAGTGACTTCTGGTCGAGAGCCTCTTGAAACTGTCGGGCGAGCACAGCGTGACACACTACGAACCCTTTCAGCCAGTAATGATGCAGCCCGTCGAGCCCCGGACTTTTCCAGTTCGGGGCCCTACGGACCGCCTCAGCCACGTCTTCTGGCGTTATGGTGATGGGGTTGTAGCAGCCAGATTAATCAAACCTAAACGGGAATAAATAATATATACTCCGCTGCTACCATAACGCGGAAGGCGAGAATAAATAAAAAAAACATTATCTTTCCTAATTATTCTTCGCTACTGAGATCCTGCGGACTGTATATCGATAATTTGACGTTCTAATAAAGAAACAAGAAGCAGCCGCAAATATCGTTCAGCGCCACACCGACTTCACACGCCGCTATCGTCACGTATCCGTCGACCAATGGTGAGCCGTTTCTTCAACGCCGCAGTTCGTTTCCTCTTGCTGTTCCGGAGCTGTATTCCACACCGCCGCCGCCCGCCGACTACGCGTGCGCACCGATCTGCATGTCTTATATAGCCGGTCCAGCGACGTAGCTTCGTGAACAACAAACAAGTCTCACGCCGGGAAACGAAACGTAGATAATTGTATATTTTAAATAGTTTTCATTGGTCATAAAATAAGCAATATAATTGGCTAGGCAAAATATTAATTGTTACCATTGGCAAATCAATAGTGAGCCAGCCATATAAATATAGGCAAGGTTGATGCAAAATATATTCCATTCCGAATCCCATTCGACAGTACATTCATAAACATAAGCAGTAGTTTCATTTCTCCACCTTAAAGAAAACCACTCGGAGTCTGTTAATAGTGGACAGTTCATCCCCACTATTACAGTGGTGACCCCGTACGAACACCGAGGGGGAAGATCCGGTACGAACACCAAGAAGGAACACCCTGCGACGTACCACTACTATTGCACGAACACCGCGAAGGAAACCCGTACGAACACCGAGAAGGAAGACTTCAGTTTATATAAAATCAGTGTAATCAAGCCGTCATTATGGAGCAGGAGGCAAACACATATACATCAAACCCGGTAAAGGAACCAGAAATCGCCGGTATATCTCTATCGTTAAGAATACCACCGTTTTGGAGAGACAAACCACGACTTTGGTTCGTCAGTTTTGAAGCCGCAACGAATGGTTTAAAGAAGAGCCAAGCGCAATTAGCACAGATGGTGATAGCCCAACTTGAGAAACAAGACATCGAACAAATTGCGGACCTGTTGTACAACCCACCAGCAGTCGACCAGTATAATTCACTGAAGGATCGTCTGATCTCCGCATACGAAGAATCCGACAGTCGACAGCTACAAAAACTTCTATCAGAAATAGAACTTGGAGACCAGAAACCCACACAACTCCTACGCAAAATGCGTACTTTGGCGCGAGATAAAGTTCCGGATTCAACACTACGGCTAATGTGGGTAAACCACCTACCACCACATATTCGATCGGTAATAGCAGTCAGCGAAACATTCAGCACGCAGACGAAGCTCGACGAACTGGCACTCCTGGCGGACAAGATGATCGAAAACAGCAGTAGCTCACACATATCGATCATCGAAGGCACTTCAACAAAGGCCAATGATACCCAGTTTCTTCTCGAAGAAATTCGGAAGCTATCATTCGAAGTCGCCGCGCTCAAAGCTTCCCAGCATCATACCTTTTACCAGCAACAGTACAACCAGCGCAATCAGCAACACCGAAGATCACCTTTTCGTCGCAACCGCTCTGCAAGTAGAAGTCGAATAAGCTCAACATCAAGATCCCCTTACTGCTACTATCATCGACGTTTCGGGGTCGAGGCAAGAAAATGCACAGCACCGTGTACATTCAAAAATGAAAATACGAATACGGAAAACTAACTAGTACGCTCGATGCGACGGGATCCAGCGTAACAGCAAAGTCCTACCGTCTTTTCGTCACCGATAAAAAAAGCAAGCTTACTTTCCTTATCGACACCGGAGCAAATATCTCAGTGTTACCGCCGAAGCAAGGACAGAAGTTGAAGCCACTAGATTTTCAACTCTATGCAGCAAACAATACGGTTATTCCTACATATGGAGAAAAAACAATGGAACTGGATTTTAATCTACGCCGACCATTCAAATGGAGATTTATCGTCGCTAAAGTCAGCAAACCAATCATCGGTGCTGATTTTCTTCAACATCACCAGTTGGTCGTCGACATCAAAAATAGAAGAATCATCGACGGGAAAACCAATCTTGCATCTCAGTCTTTTGTACAAGCAACCAATCTGCCCACAATAAGAAGCATAGATGTGCAACAACCGTATCACAAGATCCTCGAAGAATACCCTGGTATCACAAGAATAACTTCAATGAAATTAACACCGAAGAACGACGTTGAGCATTTCATCGACACCAATGGACCACCACTTCATTGTCGTGCACGTCCAATCGCACCACACCTATACGAGCAAGTTCGAAAGGAATTCGAAAACATGATTGAGCAAGGAATATGCCGTCCAAGCAAAAGCCCTTGGTCATCACCACTTCACATTGTACCGAAGAAGAACGGAGAATTACGAGTTTGTGGAGATTACAGAAGACTGAATTCTATTACCACTCCTGACCGCTACCCAATACCGCGAGTCAGGGATTTCACTCATCAACTATCAGACAAGACTATATTCTCCACCATCGATCTCAACCGAGCTTACCAACAAATAAGAGTCCGCGATGAAGACATAGAGAAGACAGCAATAATTACCCCAATGGGATTATTCGAATTCCCAAGAATGATCCCAGGATTAAAGAACGGAGGTCAAACTTTCCAAAGATTCATACACGAAGTACTTCATGGACTGGATTTCGTTTTCGCATTTATTGATGATCTCCTTGTTGCAAGCCCTGATAAAGAAACGCACGAAACCCATCTACGCACCGTGCTACAGCGATTAGAAGACAACGGAATCACAATCAACCCTTCGAAATGCATATTTGGACAGCAAGAAGTTCAATTTCTTGGTTTCACCGTCAGCAAGGAAGGAATAAAACCGCCTGCCGAAAAAGTCAGAGCAATCATCGATTATGCAAAACCTAAAACTATCGAAGAGCTAAGGCGTTTTCTTGAGATGATAAATTTTTACAGAGAACACATACCTAAAGCCGCTGAAATCCAAGCACCACTTCACGCCTACCTTCACAACACGAAGAAAAAAGATAAAACGTCAATCGAATGGAACGATGAAGCCACGAAGGCATTTGAAGCTTGTAAAATTGCGATCCAAAATGCAGCTTTACTCGCTCACCCATCACACGAAGCAACCCTTGCTATCTTCAGCGACGCATCCGATCTCTCAGCAGGAGCAGTTCTCCAACAATACAGCAATGGGAAATGGCAACCACTTGGATATTTTTCGAAGAAGTTCTCCGATACTCAACGTAACTACAGTACATTCGACCGAGAGCTACTCGCTATTTACATGGCTATCAAGCACTTCAGAAAAACGTTCGAGGGTCGAAACCTGATCGTTTTTACCGACCACAAGCCATTAACATATGTACTTCCAAAGAAACCATCACTATCGGAAACACCACGAAGAGCAAGACAACTTATTTTCATAAGTGAATTCACGACCGACATACGTCACATCAGTGGAAAGGACAACGTAGTTGCCGACGCACTCAGTCGCGTACCAATCGACAGTGTAACGTGCCCTACATCAATCGACTATCATAAGATCGCCGCAGCACAAGACAGAGATAGTGACAACATAAAACATCTAGCGAAGCAAGGTAACTTGTCCATCAAGCAAGTTACAATGCCAATGACGCATCTACCAATATACTGTGAAGCCTCAACGACAACCATGCGACCATACATACCAGAAGAATGTCGTCGCGAAGTCTTCAATGCACTGCACAACATTAGTCATCCAGGTGTTAGAACAACAAGAAAACTCATCACTGAAAAATTCTTTTGGCCTGCAATGCAAGCGGATGTTGGCAACTGGGCGAAGCAATGCATTCAATGCCAAAAATGCAAAGTACAAAGGCATACATCAAGTAGTCTAGCTACATTTCCACCCACGGAGAGATTCGAACACTTGCACGTTGACATCGTTGGACCATTACCTACTTCACCGCAAGGACATCGTTATCTCGTAACAATGATCGACAGAACAACAAGATGGCCAGAAGCAATACCTACCGATGATACTTCAGCCGAATCCGTCGCGAAGATAATTTATGAAAATTGGATTACTCGTTTCGGATCACCTAAAACCATCACAACGGATCAAGGAAGGAATTTCGAAAGCAACCTATTCCTCAAACTTCTTCAAACTATGGGAATACAGAATACGCATACCATCCTCAGTCAAACGGAATAATCGAACGATGGCATCGTACATTAAAGACTGCACTCAAAACTCGTTTATCTCAACATACAAAGTGGATTGATGAGCTACCTACAGTGCTACTCGGACTACGAGCAACACCGCGTGCAGACACTAGTCTTAGCGCCGCTCAGCTAACATACGGCTGCAGCATAAGGCTGCCGTGTGACTTCTTCAGTTCAGCAGCGTCAAACAAACAAGAAATGGATTACGATTTCGTAACTAAACTTCGAGAATCAATTAACAAAGCCTTATCGTTGAAATGCACCGAAATGCAATCACACAGAAATAATAAATCAGTATTCATTCATCAAGATTTGAAAACATGCAAACAAGTTTTTGTAAGAAACGACGCAATGAAAAAACAATTTCAACCTACCTACGATGGACCGTATAAAGTATTAGAGAGAAATAGCAAGACTTTTAAACTACAAATACCCGGAAGGAAATCTACGATTATATCGATCGACCGACTAAAGCCTGCCTATATTGTTAACGAGGATACTGCAGAGGATTCATCATCATCATCAAAACCACCAGCGAGGAAGCTTGAAACTTCATCATCTACATCAACCCAGTTGAAACCTATTTTAAAAACTACGAAATACGGGCGAGTCGTCAAGCCTCCGGTACGCTTTCGCTGGGGGGAGAGTGATGTAGCAGCCAGATTAATCAAACCTAAACGGGAATAAATAATATATACTCCGCTGCTACCATAACGCGGAAGGCGAGAATAAATAAAAAAAACATTTTATTTCCTAATTATTCTTGGCTACTGAGATACTGCGGACTGTATATAGATAATTTGACGTTCTTATAAAGAAACAAGAAGCAGCCGCAAATATCATTCAGCGCCACACCGACTTCACACGCCGCTATCGTCACGTATCCGTCGACCAATGGTGAGCCGTTTCTTCAACGCCGCAGTTCGTTTCCTCTTGCTGTTCCGGAGCTGTATTCCACACCGCCGCCGCCCGCCGACTACGCGTGCGCACCGATCTGCATGTCTTATATAGCCGGTCCAGCGACGTAGCTTCGTGAACAACAAACAAGTCTCACGCCGGGAAACGAAACGTAGATAATTGTATATTTTAAATAGTTTTCATTGGTCATAAAATAAGCAATATAATTGGCTAGGCAAAATATTAATTGTTACCATTGGCAAATCAATAGTGAGCCAGCCATATAAATATAGGCAAGGTTGATGCAAAATATATTCCATTCCGAATCCCATTCGACAGTACATTCATAAACATAAGCAGTAGTTTCATTTCTCCACCTTAAAGAAAACCACTCGGAGTCTGTTAATAGTGGACAGTTCATCGCCACTATTACAGGGTCCATAGGCGTAACACTCGCACCCTGGCTCGCCACAACTTCCATCCAAGGGCCCTCACTGTGGTTTACGGGCTCTGACCACAGGCCACGCCAGAACGCGATAATGTCAGCCTGATCCGGTCCTTGGCCCGCTACACATACCTTTGGTCGCTCCAATAATTTATAGAGCCTCTTCTGATCACTCTGGAAGAGACGATTCTGGTTGAACCGCCTTGACCCCTCGGAAAATCGTCGAATCCGCTTCCCCCAAGCAGCGATATTTTGCTTCAGGTCGTCTATGCGCTCCGTTAGTTTCTGCGTGATATTCGGCTGGGACAAACTGATATTTGTCCCAGCAAACGCCATCCTAACGGTGCGCATAATCCTCGGTCTATTATTACCCGACCTGAAGCTTGTCAGTCTGCCGATAAGGGCCCCTGCCTTTGCGATACGGTCCTCGATTCTTTTCCTCCAGGCTGGGATGGCGTTACTTTGTGTAGTAGCGCGTCCAGCCATGGGAAGTTTGGCGCCAATAATACGGCAAACTGCCACTGCGGCGCCAAAGAGAATCGAGTCCGTCTCGCAAAGGTCCCGGCTGGCTTCCAAATAGGTCACCAGCATTGGGTTAAGAGCCCTCACGACAGCCCGATTTCGCTTGCTTAAGGGTATGCGGGGAAGTCGCGGTCGATTTTATTATTATTATTTTGGGGTATCTATATAGTTTTCTCATCTGGTTGGGTGCTATAAATATATAATTATAAATGAAAATGAAAAGACAAATATACATTAATATCAATAACATGAAATAAATATAAAAGTACATAAATAAATAAAAGCCCAACCAGATGGAGGCCCTCGGCAGGGGAGACCAAACGGCCGAGGGTTAGGGGGAAAGGGAAAGAAACCGGCGGACGATGCGGGCGGTATCGAGGAGCACCGCCTTCTGCATTTGAACCTGGAGCGGTCCGCCACGTAGTCCCAGCCGCCTCAGATGACCCGAGAGGCTGACTGGGATTAGCCCGTTTGCAGAGACGACTACAGGAATAATTTCGGTCGGCAGACCACCCCACATGTCGGTCACCTCGTGAGCCAGGTCCAGATATTTTGTTTGCTTGTCTGTTTCGGCTTTCACGAGGTTCTCGTCATACGGAATGGTAATGTCGACCAAAAATATCCTTGACTGTGCCCGGTCCATCAGCACAATATCAGGCTTATTCGCAAGAATAGTCCTGTCTGTGATGATGGCCCGGTCCCAATAGAGCCTGGCGCGATCATTTTCGAGCACGGCTTCCGGCAAGTACTTGTAATACGGCAATTTCCGATCCACGAGACCGTATTTCAGAGCGAGCTCCTGGTGTAGAATTCTGGCTACTAGGTTGTGCCTGTGCAAGTACTCAGAGTTAGAAAGCGCCGAACAACCGGAGATAACATGCCTAAGTGACTCACCGGGATGGCGACAAGCTCGACAGATGTCGACGGTGCCATCCTTTAGGATGTATCTCCGATAGTTGTTGGTCTTAATAACCTGATCCTGTATTGCACAGACAAAACCCTCGGTTTCCCCGAAGAGATCACCAAAGCGTAGCCAGTGGAGGGAGGCTACTGTGTCTACGAAAGGCTCTTGTAGAGCCTTGTAGAACCTCCCGTGGAGCTCCTTCTCCTTCCATACGGTCTCCCGGTCGGAAATGCTCTGCACTGCCGGGTCTTGCCATTGCTCGTTGGCTAAGGATAGAGGGGTAAGTCCTTTATCACAAGAAATGACGTCCTTATAGAATGGATCATCCGATCTCGCCAGGAAGTAATCACGGAGGCTGCACACTTCGCGATTATGCATGGTGAGCGCTCTCAAGAAGCCACGACCACCATGCTTCCGCGGCTAGTACAGCCTCATTACCGACGATCTCGGATGATGCATCCTATGGGACGTCATGGTAGTGCGGACTTTTCTATCCAGGGCGTTAAGTTCAGTCTGAGTCCACCTGAGTATGCCAAAGGTATACATGAGGACAGGCATGACCCAGCCGTTACATGCGTGTGCCTTATTCACACCGGACAAAAGGCTGTTAAGCACTTTGGTCAAGCGTGCATAAAACACGTCGCAAACTGACTGTTTCATACCAGTCTCATCGATACCGATGTTTTGTGACATACCCAGGTATCGGTATGTTTCAGCCTCGGAAAGGGTCCTTAAGTTGACGGGCATAGATAAGTCTACGCCCTCAGAGTTAGCAACCCTTCCCCTTTCAACATGGAGGACCGCACACTTATCTGTCCCCAGCTCCATTCCAATGGAATTGCTAAATTCACAAGTGATGTTTAGCAATTCCATAAGATGGGAGCGACTGGAGGCGAATAACTTAAGGTCATCCATATAGAAAAGGTGGGTCACTTTTGTCCCTCCTTTCCGTAGCTGAAATCCCCCGATGAACCCGGAGCCCTCCAGTAAGGTACTGAGAGGGTTCAGAGAGAGGCAGAACCAGATTGGACTCAGACAATCGCCCTGGAAGATACCCCTTCTTATCCTTATGTGGTTCTCCGCAGCCATCATCCGCTCGCCTAGATGACAAAGGATCGTACTCCACTGCCCCATACACTGCTCGAGGAAGTCTCTTTAGCCATGTATGGGGCACCGAGTCGAATGCCTTTCTGTAGTCTATCTAGGCGGCGGAAAAGTTCCGACGGTTGCGTTTCACCACTTTGCCAATGACCGCGTCAATGAGGAGTGGTTCCTTGGTTCCACGACCACCGCCCCGACATCCATTTTGAGCGCGCGACATCACCTGATTTGAGTCCAGGTGACAAGTGATTCTCGCGCTCAAAATGGATGTTAGTGTCTTGTATATGGTCGGTAGACACGTGATGGGGCGGTATTTGCTCGGGTCTGTGGTACCCTGGTCTTTAGGAACTAAATGAGTGATCCCAGTAGTGAAGAGGCTTGGGAGCGACTTCTGGTTGAGAGCCTCTTGAAACTGTCGGGCGAGCACAGAGTGACACACCATGAACCCCTTCCGCCAGTAGTGATGCAGCCCGTCAAGCCCCGGACTTTTCCAGTTCGGGGCCCTACGGACCGCCTCAGCTACGTCATCCGGCGTTATGATGACGGGGTCCATGGGCGTGATACCCGCACACTGACTCACTACAACTTGCGTCTAAAGGCCCTCGCTGTGGTTTACGGGCTCTGAACACAGGCCGCGCTAGAATGCTACAGTGTCGGCCTGATTCGGTGCTGGACCCGTTCCACTTACCATTGGTCGCTCCAATGATTCATAGAGCCTCTTCTGATCACTCTGGAAGAGACGATTCTGGTTGAACCGTGTCGACCTCTCGGTATATCGTCGAATCCGCTTTCCCCAAGCAGCGATTCTCTGCTTCAGATCATCTATGCGCTCCGTCAGTTTTTGCGTTATATCCGGCTGGGACAAACTGACATTTGTCCCAGCAAACGCCATCCTGACGGTGCGCACAATTCTTGGCCTGTTGTTGCCTGATCTGAAGCATATCAGTCTGCCGATGAGAGCTCTAGCCTTTGCGATACGTTCCTCAATTCTTCTTCTCCATGCTGGGATAGCGCTACTATGGCCAGTAGCGCGTCCAGCCGTGGAAACCTTGGCGCCTATGATACGGCAGACTGCCAGCGCGGCACCAAAAAGAATTGAGTCCGTCTCGCAAAGGTCCCGGCTGGCTTCCAAATAGGTAACCAGCATTGGGTTCAGAGCCCTCACGACAGCCCGATTCCGCTTGCTTAGGGCTATGCGGGGAAGTCGCGGTCGATTTTCGAGAGGCGTACTGCGCGTTTCCACAATCGCCTCTTCCAATATACTCCTCATATGCTCTAATTCCAGTTCCTGGGCGACTGTTCCATCATCGTTTGAATCAACCACAACTGGGGTATTCACGGCGGCATCCACGTTTGCGGGTTGCTCTACCATTTGTGGCGCCGCATCCTCAGCCGTAGCATTCTCATCCGACGAGGGTACAGCCTCACGTCGTAGCCGTTCGAGTTCGGCAACATCAAATATATTTGAGCGCAAGATATACCGAACTCGGTCCGCCAGGTTTTGCTCTGTGACGATTAAAGATGGCTCCAGCTCAGCAAAAAGACGATGCATCCTAGCCCGATACGCCAAACATCCAGTTTCTTCCCCTTTTGCCCTAAAGTACGCCCGCAGTGCGTTTGCATTCATTTCTTGTGACCAACGCATGCGACGTGCTCCACCAGCGGCGGGTGCCGCTTGCTGAGTCCGAGAAGACCCAGCCGACACCAAGCCTTCTGGTGGGGATGATGGATGCGGAGGGCTGGTAGATGACCGTGCAGCTCCTCGCGCTCGGCTGGCGGCCCGCATGCTGCCGCGTCCAGCGCCAGCTCCAGACGCGCCCCGGCGACCCCCAGGCAGCGGCCCTTTGCGCACTATCTTTTTTATCCATCATCCATTATTTGGGCGTCCATTAACGGGAGACGCCCAGGCCCGGCACCGTTTCGTGTGTAGCCATAAGCACAAACGGGCCTCTGCACCCTAAATTCTGCCGCGGCACGGCGCTCACACCTCTCGCAAGGCGCTGACTGACTGCGTTGACGTAGCAGTTTTGTCACTTAACTGTTACGTCAGCGGGCGATGGGGTCGTCAATTCCCTACGCCTTATTATTATTATTATGGGGTATCTATATAGTTTTCTCATCTGGTTGGGTTCTATAAATATATAATTATAAATGAAAATGAAAAGATAAATATACATAAATATCAATAACATAAAATAAATATAAAAGTACTATTATTATTAGTATTATTATTATGGGGTATCTATATAGTTTTCTCATCTGGTTGGGTTCTATAAATATATAATTATAAATGAAAATGAAAAAAATAAATATACTAGTATTATTATTATTATTATTATTATTATTATTGGGGTATCTATATAATTTTCTCACCTTGTTGGTTGGTTGGTTGGGTTCTATATTTTTTTTTTATTTTTTTATTTTATAGAATAGGGTGACAAACGAGCACACAGTCCACCTGATGGTAAGTGGTTGCTGCGGCCCACAGACATCTACATCTATCCTCCATTATAAATCAAAATGCAGATGCGTTGTCACCCGTGAGGACTGAGATGGAATGCCTCGTTTCCAGTAAAAAGGGTCTCCGGTTCTCTACACTCACCATACGAAATACAGCAGCATTAAGCTACTATTTCACGCTGGTATTCTGTGAGAGCGTGGTCCTTCCCCGGTCTAGCCGACCCATTCGTGTTACAACTATACTGCTAATATAACTACAGCATGGCTCTACCACGTAAAGAATATATAATTATAAATTAAAATGAAAAGATAAATGTTCATAAATATCAATAAAATAAAATAAATACAAAAACTGCATAAATAAATAAGATCCAACCAGATGGGAGCCCTCGGCAGGGGAGACTAAACAGCCGAGGGTTAGGGGGAAAGGGAAAGAAACCGGCGGACGATGCGGGCGGTATCGAGGAGCACCGCCCTCTGCATTTGAGCCCGGAGCGGTCCGTCACGGAGTCCCAGTCGCCTCAGATGACCCGAGAGGCTGACTGGGATTAGCCCATTCGCAGAGACGACTACAGGAATAATTTCGGTCGACACACCACCCCACATGTCGGTCACCTCGTGAGCCAGGTCCAGATATTTTGTTTGTTTATCTGTTTCGGCTTTCACGAGGTTCTCGTCATACGGAATGGTAATGTCGATCAAAAATATCCTTGACTGTGCCCGGTCCATCAGCACAATATCAGGCTTATTCGCAAGAATAGTCTTGTCTGTGATGATGGCCCGGTCCCAGTAGAGCCTGGCGCGGTCATTTTCGAGCACGGCTTGCGGTAAGTACTTGTAATACGGCAATTTCCGGTCCACGAGACCGTATTTCAGAGCGAGGTCCTGGTGTAGAATTCTGGCTACTAGGTTGTGCCTGTGCAAGTACTCAGAGTTAGAAAGCGCCGAACAACCGGAGATGACATGCCTAAGTGACTCCCCGGGATGGCGACAAGCTCGATAGACGTCGACAGTGCCATCCTTTAGGATGTATCTCCGATAGTTGTTGGTCTTAATAACCTGATCCTGTATTGCACAGACAAAACCCTCGGTTTCCCCGAAGAGGTCACCGAAACGTAGCCAGTTGAGGGAGGCGGCTGTATCTACGTGAGACTCATGTAGAGCCCTGTAGTACCTCCCGTGGAGCTCCTTCTCCTTCCATACGGTCTCCCGGTCGGAAATGCTCTGTACTGCCGGGTCTTGTCATTGCTCGTTGGCTAAGGATAGAGGGGTAAGTCCTTTATCACTAGAAATGACGTCATTATAGAATGGATCATCCGATCTCGCCAGGAAGTAATGACGGAGGCTGCACACTTCGCGATTATGCATGGTGAGCGCGCTCAGAAAGCCACGCCCACCATGCTTTCGCGGCAAGTACAGCCTCATTACCGACGATCTCGGATGATGCATCCTATGGGACGTCATTGTAGTGCGGACTTTTCTATCCAGGGCGTTAAGTTCAGTCTGACTCCACCTGAGTATGCCAAGGTATACATGAGGACAGGCATGACCCAACCGTTATATGCATGTGTCTTATTCACACCGGACAAAAGACTATTAAGCACTTTGATCAAGCGTGCATAAAACACGTCGCAAACTGACTGTTTCATACCAGCCTCATCGATACCGATGTTCTGTGACATACCCAGGTATCGGTATGTTTCAGCCTCGGAAAGGGCCCTTAAGTTGACGGGGATAAATAAGTCTATGCCCTCAGAGTTAGCAACCCTTCCCCTTTCAACATGGAGAACCGCACACTTATCCGTCCCAAGCTCTATTCTAATAGAATTGCTAAATTCACAAGTGATGTTTAGCAATTCCATAAGATGGGAGCGACTGGAGGCGAATAACTTGAGGTCATCCATATAGAAAAGGTGGGTTACTTTTGCACCTCCTTGTCGAAGCTGAAATCCCCTCCCGGAGCCCTCCAGTAAAGTACTGAGAGGGTTCAAAGAGAGGCAGAACCAGATTAGACTCAGACAGTCGCCCTGGAATATACCCCTTCTTATCTTTATGCGGCTTTCCGCAGCCGTCATCCGCTCGCCTAGATGACAGAGGATCGTACTCCACTGCCCCATACACTGCTCGAGGAAGTCTCTAACTGTACAGTCAATCTTGTACAGCTCGAGGACCCTCTTTAGCCATGCATGGGGCACCGAGTCGAATGCTTTTCTGTAGTCTATCCAGGCGGCGGAGATGTTCCGACGGTTGCGTTTCACCACTTTGCCAATGACCGCGTCAATGAGGAGTGGTTCCTTGGTTCCACGACCAACGCCCTGACATCCATTTTGAGCGCGTGACATCACCTGATTTAGCTCCAGGTGACGAGTGATTCTCGCGCTCAAAATGGATGTCAGTGTCATATATAGTGGGTAGATACGTGATGGGGCGGTATTTGCTCGGGTCTGTGGTATCCTGATCTTTAGGAACCAAGTGAGTGATCCCAGTAGTGAAGAGGCTCGGGAGCGACTTCTGATCGAGAGCCTCTTGATACTGTCGGGCGAGCACAGCGTGACACACTACGAACCCCTTCAGCCAGTAATGATGCAGCCCGTCGAGCGCCGGACTTTTCCAGTTCGGGGCCCTACGGACCGCCTCAGCCACGTCTTCAGGCATTGTGGTGACGGGGTCCATAGGCGTAACACTTGCACTCTGGCTCGCCACAACTTCCATCCAAGGGCCCTCGCTGTGGTTTACGGGCTCTGACCACAGGCCACGCCAAAATGCGACAGTGTCAGCCTGATCCGGTCCTGGGCCCGCTCCACATACCTCTGGTCGCTCCAATGATTTATAGAGCCTCTTCTGATCACTCTGGAAGAGACGATTTTGGTTTAACCGCCTTGACCTCTCACTAAATCGTCGAATACGCTTCCCCCAAGCAGCGATTTTTTGCTTTAGGTCATCTATGCGCTCCGTTAGTTTCTGCGTGATATCCAGCTGGGACAAACTAATATTTGTCCCAGCAAACGCCATTCTAACGGTGCGCACAACTCTCGGTCTAATATTACCCGACCTGAAGCTTGTCAGTCTGCCGATAAGGGCCCTTGCCTTTGCGATACGGTCCTCGATTCTTTTTCTCCAGGCTGGGATGGCACTACCTTGTTGAGTAGCACGTCCAGCCATGGGAAGATTGGCACCAATAATACGGCATACTGCCAGTGCGGCGCCAAAAAGAATTGAGTCCGTCTCGCAAAGGTCCCGGCTGGCTTCCAAATAGGTCACCAGCATTGGGTTAAGAGCCCGCACGACAGCCCGATTTCGCTTGCTAAGGGGTATGCGGGGGAAATCGTTGTCGATTTTCGAGAGGCGTGCTGCGCGTTTCCAGCATCGACTCTTCCAATATGCTTCTCATTTTCTCTAGTTCGTGGGGGACTATTCCATCATCGTCTGAATCAACCACAAATGGAATATTGACGGCAGCGTCCACATTTGCAGTTTGCTGCGCAATTAGTGGCGCCGCATTCCCAGCCGTAGCATTTCCATCCGATGAGGGAACAGCCTCACGTCGTAGTCGTTCGAGTTCGGCGTCACCAAATATGTTGGAGCGCAGGATGTACCGAACTCGGTCTGCCAGGTTTTGCTCAGTGACGGATAGAGATGGCTCCAGCCCTGCAAAAAGCGATGCATCCGAGCCCGATATGCCAAACATCCGGTTTCTTCCCCCTTTTGCCCTAAAGTACGCCCGCAGTGCGTTTGCGTTCATTGTTTGTGACCAACGCATGCGACGTGCTCTACCAGCGGCGGGTGCCGCTTGCTGAGTCCGAGAAGACCCAGCCGACACCAAGCCTTCTGGTGGGGATGATGGATGCGGAGGGCTGCTAGGTGATCGTACAGCTCCTCGCGCTAGGCTGGCGGCACGCATGCTGCCGCGTCCAGCGCCAGCTCCAGACGCGCCCCGGCGACCCCCAGGCAGCGGCCCTATGCGCGTTCCTCTTTGTACCATCACCCATTTATGGGCGCCAAATAACGGGAGACGCCCAAGCCCGGCACCGTTTCGTGGTTCGGTCATATGCACAAACGGACCTTTGCACCCACAATTTTGCCTAGGCACGGCGCTCACACCTCTTGGCAGGGCGCTTACTGACTGCGCCGACGTAGTAGTTTTGTCACATAACTGTTACATCAGCGGGCGATGGGGTCGTCACTTCCCTACGCCTCTTATTATTATTATTATTATTATTATTGGGGTATCTATATAATTTTCTCACCTGGTTGGGTTCTATATTTTTTTATTTTTTTATTTTATAGAATAGGGTGACAAACGAGCACACAGTCCACCTGATGGTAAGTGGTTGCTGCGGCCCACAGATATCTACATCTATCCTCCATTATAAATCAAAATGCAGATGCGTTGTCACCCGTGAGGACTGAGATGGAATGCCTCGCTTCCAGTAAAAAAGGGTCTCCGGTTCTCTACACTTACCATACGAAACACAGCAGCATTAAGCTACTATTTGAGGCTTGTATTCTGTGAGAGCGTGGTCCTTCCCCGGTCGAGCCAACCCATTCGTGTTACAACTACTAATATAACTACAGCATGGCTCTACCACGTAAAGAATATATAATTATAAATTAAAATGAAAAGATAAATGTTCATAAATATCAATAAAATAAAATAAATACAAAAACTGCATAAATAAATAAGATCCAACCAGATGGGAGCCCTCGGCAGGGGAGACCAGACGGCCGAGGGTTAGGGGGAAAGGGAAAGAAACCGGCGGACGATGCGGGCGGTATCGAGGAGCACCGCCTTCTGCATTTGAGCCCGGAGCGGTCCGTCACGGAGTCCCAGTCGCCTCAGATGACCCGAGAGGCTGACTGGGATTAGCCCATTCGCAGAGACGACTACAGGAATAATTTCGGTCGACACACCACCCCACATATCGGTCACCTCGTGAGCCAGGTCCAGATATTTTGTTTGTTTATCTGTTTCGGCTTTCACGAGGTTCTCGTCATACGGAATGGTAATATCGATCAAAAACATCCTTGACTGTGCCCGGTCCATCAGCACAATATCAAGCTTATTCGCAAGAATAGTCCTGTCTGTGATGATGGCCCGGTCCCAGTAGAGCCTGGCGCGGTCATTTTCGAGCACGGCTTGCGGCAAGTACTTGTAATACGGCAATTTCCGGTCCACGAGACCGTATTTCAGAGCGAGCTCCTGGTGTAGAATTCTGGCTACTAGGTTGTGCCTGTGCAAGTACTCAGAGTTAGAAAGCGCTGAACAACCGGAGATGACATGCCTAAGTGACTTCCCGAGATGGCGACAAGCTCGACAGACGTCGACAGTGCCATCCTTTAGGATGTATCTCCGATAGTTGTTGGTCTTAATAACCTGATCCTGTATTGCACAGACAAAACCCTCGGTTTCCCCGAAGAGGTCACCGAAACGTAGCCAGTTGAGGGAGGCGGCTGTATCTACGTGAGACTCATGTAGAGCCCTGTAGTACCTCCCGTGGAGCTCCTTCTCCTTCCATACGGTCTCCCGGTCGGAAATGCTCTGTACTGCCGGGTCTTGTCATTGCTCGTTGGCTAAGGATAGAGGGGTAAGTCCTTTATCACTAGAAATGACGTCATTATAGAATGGATCATCCGATCTCGCCAGGAAGTAATGACGGAGGCTGCACACTTCGCGATTATGCATGGTGAGCGCGCTCAGAAAGCCACGCCCACCATGCTTTCGCGGCAAGTACAGCCTCATTACCGACGATCTCGGATGATGCATCCTATGGGACGTCATTGTAGTGCGGACTTTTCTATCCAGGGCGTTAAGTTCAGTCTGACTCCACCTGAGTATGCCAAGGTATACATGAGGACAGGCATGACCCAACCGTTATATGCATGTGTCTTATTCACACCGGACAAAAGGCTATTAAGCACTTTGATCAAGCGTGCATAAAACACGTCGCAAACTGACTGTTTCATACCAGCCTCATCGATACCGATGTTCTGTGACATACCCAGGTATCGGTAGGTTTCAGCCTCGGAAAGGGCCCTTAAGTTGACGGGCATAGATAAGTCTATGCCCTCAGAGTTAGCAACCCTTCCCCTTTCAACATGGAGGACCGCACACTTATCCGTCCCCAGCTCCATTCTAATAGAATTGCTAAATTCACAAGTGATGTTTAGCAATTCCATAAGATGGGAGCGACTGGAGGCGAATAACTTGAGGTCATCCATATAGAAAAGGTGGGTTACTTTTGCACCTCCTTGTCGAAGCTGAAATCCCCTCCCGGAGCCCTCCAGTAAAGTACTGAGAGGGTTCAAAGAGAGGCAGAACCAGATTAGACTCAGACAGTCGCCCTGGAATATACCCCTTCTTATCCTTATGCGGCTTTCCGCAGCCGTCATCCGCTCGCCTAGATGACAGAGGATCGTACTCCACTGCCCCATGCACTGCTTGAGGAAGTCTCGAACTGTACAGTCAATCTTGTACAGCTCGAGGACCCTCTTTAGCCATGTATGGGGCACCGAGTCAAATGCCTTTCTGTAATCTATCCAGGCGGCGGAGAAGTTCCGACGGTTGCGTTTCACCACTTTGCCAATGACCGCGTCAATGAGGAGTGGTTCCTTGGTTCCACGACCGCCGCCCCGACATCCATTTTGAGCGCGCGACATCACCTGATTAGAGTCCAGGTGACGAGCGATTCTCGCGCTCGAAATGGATGTTAGTGTCTTGTATATAGTCGGTAGACACGTGATGGGGCGGTATTTGCTCGGGTCTGTGGCACCCTGATCTTTAGGAACCAAATGAGTGAACCCAGTAGTGAAGAGGCTTGGGAGCGACTTCTGGTTGAGAGCCTCTTGAAACTGTCGGGCGAGCACAGCGTGACACACCGTGAACCCCTTCAGCCAGTAGTGATGCAGCCCGTCAAGCCCCGGACTTTTCCAGTTCGGGGCCCTACGGACCGCCTCAGCTACGTCATCCGGCGTTATGATGACGGTGTCCATGGGCGTAATAACCGCACAGTGCCTCGCCACAACTTCCGTCAAGGGCTCTCGTTGTGGTTTACGGGCTCTGACCACAGGCTGCGCCAGAATGCGACCGTGTCGGCCTGATTTGGTGCTGGGCCCGTTCCACTTACTATTGGTCGCTCCAATTATTTATAGTTATTATTATTATTATTATGTGGGGTATCTATATAGTTTTCTCATCTGGTTGGGTTCTATAAATATATAATTATAAATGAAAATGAAAAGATAAATATACATAAATATCAATAACATAAAATAAATATAAAAGTACATAAATAAGTAAAAGCCCAACCAGATGGAGGCCCTCGGCAGGGGAGACCAAACGGCCGAGGGTTAGGGGGAAAGGGAAAGAAACCGGCGGACGATGCGGGCGGTATCGAGGAGCACCGCCTTCTGCATTTGAACCTGGAGCGGTCCGCCACGTAGTCCCAGCCGCCTCAGATGACCCGAGAGGCTGACTGGGATTATCCCGTTTGCAGAGACGACTACAGGAATAATTTCGGTCGGCAGACCACCCCACATGTCGGTCACCTCGTGAGCCAGGTCCAGATATTTTGTTTGCTTGTCTGTTTCGGCTTTCACGAGGTTCTCGTCATACGGAATGGTAATGTCGACCAAAAATATCCTTGACTGTGCCCGGTCCATCAGCACAATATCAGGCTTATTCGCAAGAATAGTCCTGTCTGTGATGATGGCCCGGTCCCAATAGAGCCTGGCGCGATCATTTTCGAGCACGGCTTCCGGCAAGTACTTGTAATACGGCAATTTCCGATCCACGAGACCGTATTTCAGAGCGAGCTCCTGGTGTAGAATTCTGGCTACTAGGTTGTGCCTGTGCAAGTACTCAGAGTTAGAAAGCGCCGAACAACCGGAGATAACATGCCTAAGTGACTCACCGGGATGGCGACAAGCTCGACAGATGTCGACGGTGCCATCCTTTAGGATGTATCTCCGATAGTTGTTGGTCTTAATAACCTGATCCTGTATTGCACAGACAAAACCCTCGGTTTCCCCGAAGAGATCACCAAAGCGTAGCCAGTGGAGGGAGGCTACTGTGTCTACGAAAGGCTCATGTAGAGCCTTATAGAACCTCCCGTGGAGCTCCTTCTCCTTCCATACGGTCTCCCGGTCGAAAATGCTCTGCACTGCCGGGTCTTGCCATTGCTCGTTGGCTAAGGATAGAGGGGTAAGTCCTTTATCACAAGAAATGACGTCCTTATAGAATGGATCATCCGATCTCGCAAGGAAGTAATCACGGAGGCTGCACACTTCGCGATTATGCATGGTGAGCGCGCTCAAGAAGCCACGACCACCATGCTTCCGCGGCAAGTACAGCCTCATTACCGACGATCTCGGATGATGCATCCTATGGGACGTCATGGTAGTGCGGACTTTTCTATCCAGGGCGTTAAGTTCAGTCTGAGTCCACCTGAGTATGCCAAAGGTATACATGAGGACAGGCATGACCCAACCGTTATATGCGTGTGCCTTATTCACACCGGACAAAAGGCTGTTAAGCACTTTGGTCAAGCGTGCATAAAACACGTCGCAAACTGACTGTTTCATACCAGCCTCATCGATACCGATGTTCTGTGACATACCCAGGTATCGGTATGTTTCAGCCTCGGAAAGGGTTCTTAAGTTGACGGGCATAGATAAGTCTATGCCCTCAGAGTTAGCAACCCTTCCCCTTTCAACATGGAGGACCGCACACTTATCCGTCCCCAGCTCCATTCTAATAGAATTGCTAAATTCACACGTGATGTTTAGCAATTCCATAAGATGGGAGCGACTGGAGGCGAATAATTTGAGGTCATCCATATAGAAAAGGTGGGTCACTTTTGTACCTCCTTTCCGAAGCTGAAATCCCCTCCCGGAGCCCTCCAGTAAAGTACTGAGAGGGTTCAAAGAGAGGCAGAACCAGATTGGACTCAGACAGTCGCCCTGGAATATACCCCTTCTTATCCTTATGCGGCTTTCCGCAGCCGTCATCCGCTCGCCTAGATGACAGAGGATCGTACTCCACTGCCCCATACACTGCTCGAGGAAGTCTCGAACTGTACAGTCAATCTTGTACAGCTCGAGGACCCTCTTTAGCCATGTATGGGGCACCGAGTCAAATGCCTTTCTGTAATCTATCCAGGCGGCGGAGAAGTTCCGACGGTTGCGTTTCACCACTTTGCCAATGACCGCGTCAATGAGGAGTGGTTCCTTGGTTCCACGACCGCCGCCCCGACATCCATTTTGAGCGCGCGACATCACCTGATTTAAGTCCAGGTGACGAGCGATTCTTGCGCTCAAAATGGATGTTAGTGTCTTGTATATGGTCGGTAGACACGTGATGGGGCGGTATTTGCTCGGGTCTGTGGCACCCTGATCTTTAGGAACCAAATGAGTGATCCCAGTAGTGAAGAGGCTTGGGAGCGACTTCTGGTTGAGAGCCTCTTGAAACTGTCGGGCGAGCACAGAGTGACACACCATGAACCCCTTCAGCCAGTAGTGATGCAGCCCGTCAAGCCCCGGACTTTTCCAGTTCGGGGCCCTACGGACCGCCTCAGCTACGTCATCCGGCGTTATGATGACGGGGTCCATGGGCGTAATACTCGCACACTGACTCGCCACAACTTCTGTCCAAGGGCCCTCGTTGTGGTTTACGGGCTCTGACCACAGGCTGCGCCAGAATGCGACCATGTCGGCCTGATTTGGTGCAGGGCCCGTTCCACTTACTATTGGTCGCTCCAATGATTTATAGAGCCTCTTCTGATCACTCTGGAAGAGACGATTCTGGTTGAACCGTGTCGACCTCTCGGTATATCGCCGAATCCGCTTTCCCCAAGCAGCTATTCTTTGCTTCAGGTCGTCTATGCGCTCCGTCAGTTTTTGCATTATATCCGGCTGGGACAAACTAACATTTGTCCCAGCAAACGCCATCCTGACGGTGCGCACAATCCTTGGCCTGGTATTGCCTGACCTGAAGCATATCAGTCTGCCGATGAGGGCCCTAGCCTTTGCGATACGTTCTTCAATTCTTATTCTCCAGGCTGGGATAGCACTACTTTGTCCAGTAGCGCGTCCAGCCGTGGAAAGTTTGGCACCTATAATACGGCAGACTGCCAGTGCGGCGCCAAAAAGAATTGAGTCCGTATCGCAAAGGTCCCGGCTGGCTTCCAAATAGGTAACCAGCATTGGGTTCAGAGCCCTCACGACAGCCCGATTCCGCTTGCTTAGGGCTAAGCGGGGAAGTCGCGGTCGATTTTCGAGAGTGCGCGTTTCCACAATCGCCTCTTCCAATGTACTCCTCATTTGCTCTAGTTCCAGTTCCTGGGCAACTGTTCCATCATCGTTTGAATCAACCGCAACTGGCGTATTCACGGCGGCATCCACATTTGCCGTTTGCTCAGCAAGTTGTGGCGCCGCATCCTCAGCCGCAGCATTTTCACCCGATGAAGGAACAGCCTCACGTCGTAGCCGTTCGAGTTCGGTGACATCAAATGTATTTGAGCGCAAGATATACCGAACTCGGTCTGCCAGGTTTTGCTCGGTGACGGTTACAGATGGCTCCAGCTCAGCAAAAAGTCGATGCATCCTTGCCCGATACGCAAAACCTCCAGTTTCTCCCCCTTTCGCCCTAAAATACGCCCGCAATGCGTTGCTGTTCATCTGGGTTGTCCAACGCATGCGGCGTACTCCACCAGTGGCGGGTGCCGATTGCTGAGCCCGCGAAGACCCTGCCGACACCAAGCCAGCTGGTGGGGATGATGGATGCGAGGAGCTGCTGGGTGGTCGTGCAGCACCTCGCGCTCGGCTGGCGGTTCGCATGCTGTCGCGTCCAGCGCCAGCTCCAGACGCGCCCTGGCGACCTCCAGGCAGCGGCCCTTTGCGCGTTCCATTTGATTCCATCATATACTTATTATTATTATTATTATTATTATTATTATTATTATATCTGTAGCCTTCTTTGTTTAAAGTTTGCTGAAGGTGTCTATGCGTGTCAATTACCGTTAGTTAGGCTGTGAAGTTGTTTGTCATTTCAGTTTTTGGTAGTTCATTGCTTGACGTAATATTATCTAGATGCCTTCCCAATTAAAGACCTTGACCAGAGATCGTACCAGCTACCGTTTCTCATCATAAGCTTTACTGCCAGTTAGCAGGCTGGATAATGTAGGTATGTAAGGGTATACCTTTCAGACCGGGACACAGCAGTGTAAGCTTTTTAACGGAAATAGGTAAGAGTGTCGTACCTACTCAGGCGAATTCCTAAGCAGAAAATAGTCCTACCGTCTACTAAATGCTGAGGTAGAAAAAAAACATTGACACAACTTCAAGAGTAATATTTATGTAACGGATTCAGCCTAATTATTTATATCTAAACCAGTTAAAGGACACGTGGTGATTATCTTATAGTTTTAGAATCTTTTAGCTTCAAATCAGGAGAACACTTCTGAAATATTGGCCATCATATAATTGTTCTATACAAACCCAACGGCAATTTATTTCGGCTCCTAAAATCCTTATTTACATATTTTATTAGCGCCTGACAATTTGCAGATTGCAATTACAATGAACTGCAACAAATGCTTTTATAAAACATGAGGTAATTATAATTATAAATGTTCAATTTAAAAAAGAGACTTAAATTAGTTTAAGAACTTAGTCATTAAGGTAAATTAAAAACTCAAATAAATTACAAAAACGCATACTTAGGTACATTTATATAAGTTTAATAACTTAGTTATTAAGGTAAAAGAAAAAGGTTTATTACCTATTAATTTCGGACTAACCAGTTTACTACACAGGACCAGAATCTCAACAATCAATTTCACATCTCATGTCCAACTAATGTTGAACTTCCCGAGGAGAGCTACACATATTATTTTTTTCTTTTCAGTTTTTTCGGCGGTTTAATTTTTTTGTTAAAAGATTTTATATAAATATTATAGAAACAATTATTTAACTTTTTATTTATAATTAATAATTTACTAAATATACTACACCTCAACGTGCACACACCACATACGAGGGATTGAAAAGTACTCGGCCTAACCAAGAAAATAAACACATACTAAATCAGTTATATTTTTATTTTTCTACATAATCACCATCAAGTTCAATACACTTTTGCCACCTCCCCTTCCAAGCATTTAGACCGTTGAAAAAAAATGATTCTTCCTTAGAGTCAAAATATGCGTCTACAGCTGCTTTGACCTCGTCGTTTGTCGAAAATCTTTGACCTCCCAAGTGCTTTTTTAGGTTAGGGAACAGAAAGAAGTCTGATGGTGCCAGATCAGGTGAATACGGCGGATGCGGTAACAGTTCAAAGCCACAGTTGTGAATTTCAGCCATTGAATGTACTGACGTGTGAACACGGGCGTTATCTTGATGAAACAGGACTTTTCTTCTGAGCATTCCTCGACGTTTTTCTTTTATTTCCTCTCGTAAACGACGTAGTAAGGTGCAGTAGTAATCAGAGTTTATAGTCTGATACCTTTCAAGATAATCAATCATAATCACACCTTTCGAGTCCCAGAATACTGAAGCCATCACCTTATTTGCCGACAAAATCGACTTAGCCTTTTTAGGGGGTGGTGAACCAGGTCTTCTCCACTGTTTTGATTGTTGTTTTGTTTCCGGTGTACAGTAATGAACCCATGTTTCGTCCATAGTAACAAAACGATTCAAAAAATCATCTGCATCGGCTTCGAATAACTCCAAACAGTCGCGTGAAATAGTCAATCGCGACTTTTTTTGTTCAACTGAAAGCAGTCGCGGAACCCACCTCGCAGACACCTTGTGGAAACCCAACTCGTTGATAATGATGTTTTGAGTTCGTTCATAAGAGATGCCTATAATCTCGGCTATCTCTCTAATTTTTAATCTGCGGTCTTCCATTATTAAATCAAGTACTTTTTTAATATTTTCGTCAGTAGTTGACGTCGAAGGCCTTCCAGAGCGGGGTTCATCTTTCACACTCTCTCTACCACGCTTAAATTCTGTTATCCATTTTTTGACGGATGAATATGACAGAGCACAATCGCCTAATGTACTGGCCATGTCATCATGGATGGCTTTTGATGATAGCCCCTTCTTATGGAGGCACTTAATGACGGCACGCTGCTCGATTTGCTCCATTCGCGGAAATTATGTCCGATTATTTTGTTAATAAATTTATAAAATCACAACTAATTATCGCACACGTTTCGAACTTCACACAATGAACTAGTCTGAACTGAACTAAATAATATGGGTAGATTTGATTTTTAGAATTGAATGGATCTGTGTTAGGCCGAGTACTTTTCAATCCACCCTTGTACACCTATACTACACAATTACACAACTATCACCTTACAGATATTTTATTTTAAGTTTTAATATAAGTTATACTATGCGTCAAAAATCTATGTGTTATATTAGTTCTAAACACAGTTATAAGAATGAAAGACGTGAAGAGCGGAGCCTCCTAATACAAGTTTCCGAACTATTACTGAATAAGTATTACTGAAGCGAAAATAAAGATTTTTGATTTTGATTTAAAAATCTAGACCAGCGACAGGAACCAGCGTCAGCATCAGAAACAAAAAGGAGTAATAAAAATAAAAAGAGCCTGATAAGGGCACGTCAAGCAGGTGACTCTTAGATGCTAGTGATGATGATGATGATGAATAAGAAGAAGAATTTTGAATTTGGTTGCAGGTGTCCGTAAACCATCAGGTGGAGAGCTATGATCAGTCTAATTTTATAATGAATGTCATTATCAAGATCAAAAATTATATACAACTTTAAGTTTTAATATCTAATAAGTATTTGTAAGATGTTCAATAATTTAGCGAAGATATGTATACGTACAATCATAATACAGTATTTTCTTGTTTCCAGGAGGTCACAGAAGGCATTGTTAAATTATGGCGACCGAAAGCTGACGCTAAGAAATTTCTCCTCTTCCTTCACGATGTAAAAGAAAATCCAGATAAGTACTTATCAAATTTACAAAAATCCAAGAGTGGAATAATCAAAATAAGCAAAGAAACTAACATATGTCCAGAAAGCCAATATCAAACAGTTACTGTTAGAAAAACAATGGAAGAAGTCAATGTAAATTCGGTGGAAGAGATATTAAAGAAGATAGTACCTGCTAAGAGTTTTCTTTATAGGAACCAGCAGAAAAGAACTGAGAAAGCGGTGACGTCTTACTTACCGATGGATGCAGGCACACCGAGGAAGAAATGGTTTTTCCGATTAAGTTCATACGAATATCCTTTTTTTGATATTCGATTGAGGTTCTCGAAAACAGATAGTAATATTGACAGAGGATATTATTCGGTAAAATCAAATAATCGTTTTTGTATGCAAAAGTCTTATAAAAAGCAAGAAATTAAAACTAAATATAAATCACTTCCTGCACCAGAACAGGCTAGTGATAATATCCACGAAGATCATTTTTATGAAGACTTAAATTATAATGAAATTACAAAAATCAACGACATTAATCAAGACGAACCTATTCGAAGCCAAGTATCCCAGGTTAAGCCATGCATGGTGAAAATACAAGAGCTGTTTCAGTCATTCAAACTACCTTTCTTCAGAAAAAGTGAAGAAGTTTTGGAGAGGGAGAGGGGAGTTGTAAAAGAAGCAGAGAAAGAGGGAAATATTTATGAGAACAACGACAGTATTTTGGATATGTATGATTCAATTCATGTAGTGAATGAAGATACAAAAGCTGCGAGTAAAAAAGAAAATAATGTAAGTGTGTCATTTGTTAGTTTCACCGAATGATTTAACCGTGTAGTCCCAGTGAATATCTACTACCCCATATCAACCCGTGGATGTCTTAAGAGGTGACAAAGGTTGTAGCTATAATATGGTTGTAGCACGAATGGGTGGCTCGGCCGGAGTAGGACAACACTCAGAGTGAACGCAGATTTCCAGCGTAGAAATCGTACCTTAATGCTGCTGTGTTTCATATGGTGAGCACAGAGAACTGGAGACTCTTTTTGTTGGAAACGAGGCATTCCATCTTAGTTCTCAGGGGTAAAAACGCATCTTTAATTCATAATAGAGAACAGATCTGGGTCTTAATGGCCATAATATCTTCTAAGCATTATTTAAAAATTACGTAAAATTGTACATCTTAAGTAATCCAGAAGCAACGAATTTTTATTTAAGCATAAGTACAAAACTCAATCAATCGATGCCTCCTAAAACTTTTTCAGCTTTTATTTTAAAATGATCCTGATAAATTATCTTAAAATAAGATAAGCTGTGTTCTTGGTTTTGACCATTATATAAAAAATCACCAGCATGGGAATAATCCACTCATGAATATTCTCTTTCAACTTATTAGGTTTTGCCATAATTTGAGTTGAAAGACTAACTTGTCTGTTTATGACATAAAAAATTACCATATTCATTTCCATTGCTCGCCAGTCTAACGTAGGAAACATTTTTAGTGACTTAAGAAGTCGCAAACGCGATTGCTAATAACGGAAAAAAGCCTTTGAAGCCGTTGGTTTTGGTCCTTAATGGCTAGCAGCGTTACTGAACCGCCTGCACATTTGCCACCTATATTATTTAGAAATACGTTTCAGACTCTACCAGTTGAAGATTATTTAGAACCTGTACAGCTAAATAAGGACTACTGCGATGTCACCGTAAAACAGAAAGAAGAATCATTGCTGGGTTACATATTGAGCTATTTCGAGAGCCGATTTGGATTTAGAAGAGGTGAGAACTTTTTTATAATTTCTTCCTCTTGTAAGTCTTCCTGGTGTAAGAATATCCACCGCCCCATATCGGTAATTAAGCAGGAGATAGGCAGCAACATCTTTTTTATATCAACCTAATTAACCTAAAAATACTGCGGTTGTAAGCCAAATGGCAAATATCCCTACAATAAAGGAAGTCTATGGGTGAGGCCTACGTTCAGAAATGGACTTTTGACTGTAATGAATGGATGTAACAGTACACTACTGGACACGGAACTCTCCCCTAGGAATGATAGGAACACAAATGGTAAAATTAGCTGCAGAAATTGACAATATTTGATCTGAAGGTAATAAGGAGCCTGTATTACAGGCTGTGAGAAATCCCGCCTTAGTTTACAGAGATGATAACGCATATGTAGCCCTCAACCGATAGTGGAATCACAATCTAGTGTAAAATATCCAGATCAGCGACAGGAAGCAGCGTTAGAATCAGAAACAACCCTGCCGAAAAGGGTAACAAAAAGGGCCTGATAAGGACACGTCAAGCAGTAGACTCTTAGATGCTAGTGATGATGATGATGAATAAGAAAAAGAATTTTAAGTTTGGTTGCAGGTGGACGGTTCTGATCAGTCTAATATTACAACGAGTGTCATTATCAGATCAAATATTATATACAATTTTAAGGCGTTGGGTTTACAATTAGGTCTCCTGAATTTGAGGATTCTGTCACTGTGGGGGGTGGGGGGGTGGTCAAGGGGGGTTTATCTGAAGCATCACCACGCGATTTTTTTGCCGGAGCAGCGACGAAGTATTTTTAATAATTTTTTAAAAATAATTGTAAATGACTAATTAATTAAATATTCTCACGTTTTTAACGTTACATCTGTCAATATCATACCGATATATAGTACTGAATCAATCTAGTGAATCGATATTTCACTCTAGAGAATAAGGAACGAATCTTTTTCTGTTTTCTTAAGAACTATAAAAATATTTACAATTAGTTAAATGTACCCCAACACGGAGGGAATGACTGTTTTTCTATTCAATCATTCAATGTTATCTGTACTTTATTTTATATTTTATTATTGTAAATATAAAATCTTAACGCAAATCAAAGAAAAGATCGATTTTTGCGAAATCGGTCTTTGAGATTTCGGTTTATTGTGAATCGATTCATCCAATTTCGATTCGAATCGATTTAAAAATGTGTATAATTAATCGCTTGGCCGGCCGTTTTGTTGACAGCTTTATGTAACGCCGTTGCTTCCGAATTTCAGAATTTTGATGAATAGTGGAATATTTGTGGCGGCGGAATACTGCTAAATATCGCAAAGATCCTTTCTTACAAATGGTGGCAGACATGAATCATGTTTATAAATTAGAGTAGTTATAAAAGTTAAAATTTTGGTGTTATATTGAGTGCAATAGCGAGCGAAGCGAGCCTGGGACGTGGGGCACCCCGACTCGGACAGGTTAGGTTAGAAGGGGATGACGGCGTCGAGTGAGCAAGCGAAGCGAGCGAATAGACGCCGCCATCCACTTAGTGGTTATTTTTTTATAAACCACTCAAAAGTAGGAGCCCGCGAAGCGGGGCTCCGTTGACCGGGCTTCTCTCGACTGCAGCACGTTAAGTGGCGTGGGGCTTCCGTCCCCCAACTCTCTCTCCCCATAAATCAGGTTAAAATTGTCATAAAAATTACGAAACATAACCTCAAATATGAGATTATTAAAAATTTATAAAAAAACTAAGCACGGCCGGCAGGAAGAGGAAGTAGGGGGTGACTCTACAACTCCTCTCCCTTCCCCACCCCACCCCACACCCCCTAATAAAAGCGACTTAATTGTAAACCTTACCCATTTTAAGTTTTAATATCTAATTATAAGTATTAGTAAGATGTTCAATAATTTAGCGAAGATACGTGTACGTATAATCATCTAAATCAGGTCTTGAAATTTTTAATAAATAGTTCAGTACTGCCGGCGGGAATCGTACTTGGGTCTACTTTGAAATACATCGTTCTTTCTGATTTAGTAATTGTGTATATTTAACAAAAGAAAACCTTCCATAAGATTTTCTAAATGATAATGTCCAAAAAACAAATGAGAATCCATAATTTATTACCTTTGAAGTTGTAGATATGTAAAAACAGCGTGTTGTGGTATTGTATCTTTCTATACCTTGTAGGGGGGGTGTCTTAAGAAGCGACAGGGAGAAACTAAACCAGGAGATGGGCAGCAGCATTTTCCTAATAAAAACTCAAAATAAATAAGACTGTGGTTGGAAACCTGCCTGTGAAGCGTGGCTACTATAGCTAAATCACCGCTATGAGGCAACCTATGCCTATGAAGTGGATACAGTACACAGTAAATACGGAAAATAAATACAAAGATTTCATCGGAGTCAAACTTAATCTAAGTAACTTTTTCGTATTCAATTCACTCCACTACGCATCCTATGAACTGATGAGTTTTAATCAGTTTAGAGTGCATAAAATTAAACTTATTAATATTTCTCCTTATTCTCACGTAGTAATGAGAGAAAATAGGGGTTAATGTCTGAGGGGATTACAAGGACATGAAGGCCGCAGACGTGTATCGGGTCGTTAGACGGAGAGTCGGGGCTGACACAATCTTAAGACTGATCAGTATATATGGCTGATGTCTTTGCCTCGGATATTACATTGGGGGGCGCCCCAATGTGCGTCTCAGCCGAAGGAAATCACAATAATAACGAATAATGTCATTTGACGTAATTTCCGACACGGATTTAAGCGGACGACTATTACACTGTACTGTAATAATTTAATGGAAACGAATTGTTACAGAACAGTGTGATATTTATATTTATTATTTACTATTACTATAATCATCTTTACAGCCTATCATAGTTCTTGCAATTAATCATATTGCCATGCTTTCATACCGGCTGGTGGTCGCTGTTTTTCAATATTTTGAGTTGTTATAGGCAAACGTTGCAAACTATCCCCGTAAGTGCTGAGCAAGTGCAGCTATAATAAAGTTGCATTTTCCCTATCATGTAAAAACTGTAAAAACTCTTGAATATTATAATTGATTATTAAAAATATAAAAGTAATTTTAGGATACGAATGTAGTCAATTATGAGGATATTAATAAAATCCATCACCTATGTCTCTGAGCAAGTGAGAAATCTTCACGGCCCCCGATACCCGGTGATATATAATTTGGTGTATGTAAAACGTTGCCTCGTTCGTCTCGTTGTCGAAAACGTGATTGCCCATCATGAGGTTCCGGGTTCAAGTACCATCAAAGTCAATGATTGGGTATTTCTGTCAAAAAATTCTCAGCAACAGCCAGAAGTCAGAAAGTTGGTGGGGTTTTTCCTCCCATGCGTTATAAAACACGAAAAGCAGTTGGTCCTGCGTCTGAGCTCACTCCGGTCGTGTCAAATTATCATCCCATTGGATTATGAGAGTGAGGGAATAGAAAGTGCACATATACTATAATCTTATCTAAGCCTGACCGAAATTCAGCCTGGAGGACATTAGTATTATTATGTAAGACTTGAAATATCCTGATAAGCGAAAGGGAGCAGTCTAAGTAGTACAGTCGTAACATTTGAAGAAGTGAATACAAATCCGCGTGTCAATAATAGTAATAACAAACCTCATTACAAAATGATTGATTCGGAAATTTTCATTCAGTTTTATTAAAGAAGAATTACATTTGATAAACAAAATTTTAATTTCATGGTTGAAATAAGAAATATATTATATTTCATTTCATTTCATACGATATTCTTCGTACATATCACAATACAATCTTGTGAGTTTGAGTCTGAAAATATCATCTAACATAATCACACCATGCATGCCTTCCAAAATATTACAGCATAGTGTGACAGACGGCCTGACAACCGAAAGCCCGTGTTCTTGCAATGAAATTAGCGAAATCTAATAACTTGTCGCAAGCGGCGCTCATTACCGACTGATTTTTAATTATAACTGTCAACAATCAGCATACGTCAAAATTAAAATTATGAATGTTATTGTAACAGATGAAACCAATTAATAGAATCAGGCGTTATTTTGCAGAAATCCATTATATTAAAGATGTAAAAACATGTATTAGCTAAAATCCGCATAATAAAATAAAATAATATGTCTTACCTAGGTAGGAAGGTGCTCTTCAAATTAGGTAAGGACCATCATTTTATTTTACTGCGTGGAGGTAATTAACTTTTAACATATTTTAATAGGTAAACAAGTTATTATACATATAATGCCATCGTAATATTCTCCAGACCGAATTTCGATCACGACAGTCTGTGACAACGGAGAATAGCCATCTTAGCAGGATATAATATTAGCACACGAGTGCGTGCGCAAGCATAGGTGAACTCTATTCTCTCACTCTCATTAGTCCGAAACTTACAACTATCATTACAGGATTACCTAATGCGATAGTGTAGCTGTCTTAACTGATTTGTGTTGATTGTTTAATTTTTGTAACAAATTACAAGCAATGCTGTCTTTGTGAATTCACTCAGAGTACAACAAAATAGGTCCGTCTCACAAGCTATTAAGTAGAGCCTGCGGAGTGTGCGCGTCAGAGGTGCCTCACTCAGGAGGTTGGTGCGACCTCGGCTAAAGTACAATCGAAGAGAGATCAGGCGTAAAACCAACCGCTTTTACGCGTGTGGAATGTCTCGTTTCCAAAAAGTTATGTTAAGTTAAAGTTAAAAAGGGTATCAGGTTCTCTACACACAAACAGCAACAGCATTACGCTGCTATTTTCTGCTGGTATTCTTTGAGAGCCGACCTATTGCTCCAACTACAATGTGGCTGTAGCATGGCTTTACCAAGTGTAAATGACTTAACTTCCGATAGGTGGCGGTATAACCATCTCGTTCGCACCTACGTAAAATATCGAGGTCGGGTACAAGCAGCAAGGTGCGAGACCTTTGATACTGCTATCCTCAATCCACATACCAAGCGTGACGGCTAAAATTTTAAGTTGGGAGAGGTCCGTGTCCA